TTATGAGAGGGGGAAGTCTCTATGTCTCAGCTTTTATATTCTGGGAATGAGGATTGTTTTCTTTAGAGAAAGGCTACCTTTGCATGATGTGGTTATGAAGTAATGTCTAAGCTGTTAGTTGATTTTATGGAATACATTTTCTTGACTTTGAATTAGCTATGTTGAATTGCCTTTTTGAAATGAACCTGCAAAATCTGAATCTTATTTGAATGTGTTTTAAATATGCCATTTGGGACTGGAGAATGGCGTAGAAATCTGGAATCCCAATAGCCTAGGAGGCTGAGGCAGGAGGACCACATTTGAGTCTAACCTAGACAACTTAACAACTTAGCAAAGTCCTGTTACAAAAAAAAAAAAAAAAAAAAAAAAGCCAAGGATGTAGCTCAGTGTGAAAGCCCTGGGTTCAATACCTGGTACCACCACCACTACCTCCAAAACAAAAAGATACCAACTACTGGCTACCTAATTACTGAAATAAATAGAAATAAAGAAAATTTTTAGTGGCTGCAAATGAAAAGTGTTACGCAGTTTTATATAGTTGGCAGCCAGGCCATGTAGATCTGTTTTATTTATGCCTTTGATCTCTTTTTATTTCTTCATCATTTCTCCTTTGCCCAGAGTTTATTAATAGTTTTGTATATGCTTGTTCTTACAATTCCAGAATTTATAGGGGCGAATCAGGAAGGAAAGCCAGCTTAGCAGAAATCATTGAGTCTATGATCTGGAGTGCTAATCAAATAAGACTACTTTTAGAAGAGTTATACTTGAAATATAGAGCTATAAAAAATAAATACATATTAAAGATGCCCTAGTCTCTTTGTTTCTTTGGTGTTACCTTAGTATTTTTTTTTTCCTGTTCTTTTCAGGAAGCATTTGTAAGATCCATTGATACTTGAGCCAAAGTGTGCAAAAGCTCTTCACATCTGATGCTTCCTATTTTATGGAGCCATATAATCATAATTTTGGGGGCAAAGTGGCAATGTATTAGATTAAGGGAAATAAAATAATTAGTACTATTAAGATTGTGTTCATTTTGTATTCATAGACCCATATAGAAAGTAACAATAAAGACCTTTTGGGAAGCCATTTAGTAGTATGTACCAAAAAGGACCAAAACTGTACTTCTGACATTTACTTGTCATTTTAAACTTTTTATTAGTATATATTTGCAATATACAATGATTGCATTCTATGTGGGGAGTTGATACATGTACATAACAGTTTTAAATACTTTTTTCATCCTTATATCCTTACCCTCCATGTCTTGATACACTTTGCATTTGAGGAGTATCTATTTATGTAAATCCTGTTAGCTATCTTTTATTTTGCTTTTTATTTTTAAATGTGGTTTCTCACATAAAAGAAACCATTCACTATTCAAGCATGTGTATCTGATGTTTTTCATTTAACATGATGGTCTCAAGGTGTATCCATTTCCTGTAACGAGTTTACCCTTTTTGATAGAGTCATCCTCCATTATATATAAATGGCACATTTTCTTTTTCCATTTCTCTGTTTATTGCCATACCAGCCTCTTTCAAGATTCAACTTTTGTGAATTGTGCTGCTGTAAACATGGATATGGGTATATCACTGTAGTATGATGCCATTAACTTTTTTGGGAAAAAGGGAAAAAGAAAATTTCAGTTGAATGCTGTCATTCTGTTGTTTGGGATCTTACTATATCTGTATAACATTTTGGAAATGGGCACTTTGATAATATTGATTGTACCTATCCAGGAACGAGATATCCTTACATTTTCTGATGTTCTCTTTGATTTTCAGAGTACTGCGGTTTTTTTTTTTTGTTTTGTTTTGTTTTGTTTTAACAGATATTTCACTTCTTTGGTTTGGTTAACTCCAAAGTAATTTTTCTGGGTGCTATTTGGGAATGGTATTATTTTGATTGAGAATCAAGACTATTCATTCACATTGAGAGCTATCACTGAAAAGTATTGACTTATTCCTGTCATCACATTATTTTCCTGTTGCCAAATCCCCACCACAATCACCACCTGTTGCTTAAGTGCAAACCCTGCATACCTCCATGATATACTGTTAGGCTTTTTGGTATTATTGGCTTCAAGTCTCCTAGGATATTATTAAGAATTTTTTATATGCAGGTTACGTGGTCATGAATTACTTTAGCTGTTCTTTATCATGCAAATTATTTCTCCAATTTCGGAAGATAGTTTTTCAGGACATAAAAGTATGAGTTAGAAGTTATTTTATTTTGGGGCTTATCCTCCGCTAACCTCTTTTGTCTTTTAAGCGCTGTCTGCTGTAACTCCAATGCATTTGCCATTATAATTCATTGCTGTTCAGTGAAAGTTTTTAGGATTCTGTCCTTGTGTTGGACTTCTAGAATTTTGACTATGATGTATAATCTAGAGGTGTTTTTTATATGTATTTTATTTCAGTTTTAAATGTCTCACTTATCTGTACTCTGTATTTGGAAAGTTCTCCAATATTTCAGTAAACAGATTTTATATGCCATTTGTGGTATTTTTAATTTTTTCTTCCAATTTTTGACTTTGTGTAACGTAGCAAGTGTTGAATTCATTTTCATGTTCTCTTGTTTTTAAGACATCTCTCATGAGTTGATTACTGACAACAGTTCTGTCTTCCGGCTTTGACATTCTGTCCTGACATTGTGCAACTTCTGTGCATACTTTCAGTAGAATAATCAGGATTTCTGTTGGTACCTTTTGTGTTCCTTTAATTCTTTTCTTTGCTACTCATTCATGTTTTATATCATTTTGTTTAGCTTAGTTAGCTTTTTATTAGTGTCTTATGTATATTTGTGATCATTTTGCTTTCTAGGCCCATTACATGTTTAGGTATATCTTGTCTAAGCTTGCTCATTGCCTTGTTGATTTGTCCCCCCATCTTTTTTTTTTTTTTTTTTTTTGTACAAGAAATCAAACTCAGGACCTTGTATTTGCCAGGCAGTCACTTGTGCCACTGAGCTATATCCTCAACCCTCCTGTAAATTTTTGTGAGTAATTGCTTCTGGTTTTTCGATTGCCTTTCTTGTATTTCCCCATGGGTTAGCTTTGAAAGACTTGGGGTCTTTGGAGGTATTTTGTTGCCTTGTCTTCTATACTGTCATCTTTTGTTTATTATTTGAGTTGATTATAATGGAAAGCTACGTTGCTGGTATGAAGTTATCTGTAATTAAAGTCTGCTTTCAGAGATGCCCTGTGGGCATTACTAACTAGTACCCTTTGCCTCTGTACCAGGATCTAACCACTTACATTTATTTAGGATGGGAGACTGCATAGTGTTTGTTCCGGTACCTAGGTCTTTGGGGATGGGTATATTGTTACTAATTATACAAAGGCAGTCCAGATATTGACATCCAGATTAAATCAATTAGTAGCAACACCTACTTCACCTTGGTTATAGTAATAAAATCAGCCATAATAATAGCATCAAAGAACAAGTGGATATTAACATAACCCTAAGAACCAGTAACGTACCATCCTCAACTATAGAAAAGAGATCTATAATTACAGTGTTAACACTAAAACCAAATACTAACCTAAAGCAAATCTCTATTTAATGAAACAACTTTACTTCTTTACCTCTCCTATACTACAGTATTCATCGATAATAGCATAGAGTTAACTATCTAAAAATTCATAGTCCTTCACAGTAAGAATAGAGGGGATGGGCATCTAAAGAATGCAAAAGAACTGAAAAAAAAGGGGAGATGAGAAGGAAGAGGGAAAAGTGAGATAGAGGCTATTGAGTAAAAAGAAATAGTATTGGAAAACAGTCACAGAAAAGAATGACAATGGGAAAGAAAACAGCAAAATACAGTAAAGATAAGGGAAAAGTTAAAAGGGAGTACTTTTTAAAAAGTGACTAAAAAAAATGAGAGAAAACACATGCACACACCCCCCCACCAAAAGGAAAGAAAAAAACAGTAAATAATGATTGAAGAAAATTCTGGTGTTTTTCAATGAGTGATTTCTTTCCAGAATGTGCACCCTTGTAATTCAGCAAATCACAATTTTCTCCACCCAGCTTCACAACCTGTGGATTGATAAGGTGCCATGCAGAGTCCATGTTTGTTTACCTGGATGCTAGTTACTGTCCAAAATCACTTTGGTGGGTAAGAAAAACAGTTAACCCTCTAGTCTCTGCTGGATGTAGGCCACAGAGTGGGTGTTCAAGTAGACTATTGGCCTTCATGTCACCATACACTGTGCCTGCTTTCTCAATAAAGAAGGCAGGGCTTTTTTCATTTTTCATTTTGTGCTTAAACTTCTCAGGGTGTATGTCTAACCTTCATCCTTTCTGTGAAGGTCTCGTGGCTGTCTCAAGCAGTCAATTTGGAAGCGTGTCACTGGACTCCCTAAAGCTGCAGCCTAGGTCTATACTTTCTTAGGTTGCTGGTCCACCTAGCTTACCTCCTATCTGGGGATTGGCCTTATGCAGGATCTAGTCCTTCAATCTATTCACTGTGCTACCCATGCCAAGTGGTAACAAATCATATAGCTGGGTGGGGCTGGCAGTAGTCTAGGCCTGTGGTTACTTGCTGTGTGCCCTAGAGGTCAGTGGCTTCCTGTATTGCCCTGTGACCGAAGTATTTATCGTGAGAAAATAGTCCTAAGTATAGAAAAAGATTATTCACAATAGTGTTTATTGTGAAATTAATTGTAATGGAAAATGGGGAAATATCTCTAAGAAAATGTTCCAAGAATCCCAGTGACTGTTGTACATCTAGTAGGGATGCTTATTAGAGTAAAACAATGTGAAAGATACTTTTGATATATTAAATGGTGAAAAGGTAGAGTAGAATATTTTCTATTTAAATAGAAATTGATAAAAATATACCTATTCCTGGAGAAAATAAGTATTAAAATATAGGCAGTGATTATATTTGATGAAGTAACATTCTTCAGTTTTAAAAAAAATGATTATGTACTATTTTTATAATGATAATAAAGCAAAGCTCATACACGCCTGTTAAAAACATTACTTTCCTTACAGCTTTAATTAGCAGTAGTAAAAGTCAGTTTGCAAGCATTGGAAGAAGACTTTTGTAAAGGAACTTTACACAACATGGATTCTCTTCCAGAAGAATTTTTTGTGAGGTAAGGGATGAGTTGACACAAACCAATTGGATTTGTTATACTCTGAAGACTTGACCCTTGACTTCCACAATACCTTAGGAAACTTATGTGATTAAGATACCCAGATGATTCAGGACAGTTTAACATCTTTGATTAGATGTAGACTGGCTAAGATCTAATTTGATGAAAGTTCTCTAGGAATTATACCCTCAGCAGTTATAACAATCTTTTTAGAACTTTCATTAATGAATACCTGGCTCTGGCACAGCATGCCATAGGTTTGCCACCATAATCCTGGGTAAGAACTAAGAATTGAAAAATGTGCCACATCTTGTACTTGGGACATTCTTGCTGAAATGCTTTAACAAGTACTTACATGGACTTACTATGTATGGGGTATTGTTTTTAATGCTTTTAGAAGTATTCATATAAATTTCATAGCAATTCTGCGAAGTAGGTACTCATCATTTTATAGAGGTTAATTTAAGTAACAGAAGATTTTAATGAATGGTTTTATTTGGGAGTAGGCCAGATGGCAGGCTATGCCCTCTAGCTAGGACAAGTTCAGCCTGCTTGTACATTTCCCAATAATATTGAACAATAAATTAGTATCAGAGATCTTCCACCTTGAGTGGTCTCATATAGTAAGCTATAAGATCCATATTTCACAAGAATTTACTGATTTCTGATACTTAAGGAATAAAAACAAAGACAAAATTTGTAAATTTAGAGTTTATAATTTAATGGGAAAATAAGTACATCAGTAAAGTAAGTATAAAGACAGGTTATGGCTACATATAGAAAGAACCAGTAGTTACATGTTGGAGATTGAATTTTCACAATGTGATATTTATGCTGGTATTTAAAGAATGAGAAACATTTTGATGAGTGTGGAAGCAAGATGAAACAGCAAGAAAAATAATTCTTGGGGAAGATTTTGACTGTCTTGTTGAGGAGGTAGCTTTAATTTGTGAAAAGACAGAAGTTAGGGTTACACATGAAAATTTGTTCTGGAATCTAGATACTTGGTTGAGAAGCTCTCAATTTGCAATTTGAATATCAGCTTCACAACTGATTTTAATATACATCTGGAAATGAAAACGAGTTAAGGAATAAATCATGAAATGGAACTAGTAAGTAGAGTATGCATTTGGAAACAGTTTACACTAACTTTGAAAGGCTTCAGGAATTACTGCAGTATTTTTTTTCTTGATAACACAAGCATGTTCCTCATTTCTTTTTGAAATGAAGCTTACAAGTGGAGAAAGACAATGGATTAATGAACACTTTGTCTTTATAATTACACTTTAAAATCACCAAAAGTCATTCTATAAATTTTTGTGTGTATATAAATCATCTTTCTTTGAAACTTTTACTGGGATTCTGAAAATGTGAAAAACATTTATCTTTCTCAGTTTGCCTTGAGAAAATCAGCTAATATATACATAATAGATGGTTAATGATTATCTGTTACATGAATATCTAAATATAGTATTTGTAAAGTACAGTTCTGAATAAATCAGTTGACATGTTTTAGCTTTTTATGTGCTATTATACAGAATTATTAGACTATAAAATAATGCTGTATTATAGTTTCTATATGACAGTAAAAAGGAAACTTAATCATAAAATTTTTATTTCATTATATAGTACTGCCTTTGTTCACATTTTTGAATCAATGTGAAAAAAGCCTCAATCTGTTCCTGGTTACTCAAACAGTTAATACATTCTAAAAACTGTACATCAATTTTAAAAATTGCTTTGGAAAGCTGGACAATTTTAAATCCCTAAACAAAATGATCCCTAAAATGATCTATATAAAATGGGTCTTTTGCTTAACCTTTGATGTAGATAAGATAGATTAGTCACAAAACATTGACCTTTTCAAGGACTGTCTTTACCTGTATATAATAAAGTCATTTTTCTCCAGTATTTTTTATCCATAATGTGTTTGTTAAGAATAGATTTGCTGGGCATGGTGACATATGCCTGTAGTCCCAGTACTCAGTAAGCTGAAGTAGGAGACTATTGCGAGTTTGAGGCTACCCTGGGCTATATAGTAAGTTCGCAGCCCTGTTACATAATGAGACCCTGTCTTTTAAAAAGCTATGCATTTTTTGTGTTTTTATCAACTTGCTATTTTCTCTACCCTAGTCCAGTAGGTATTTAACATAATTTTCTTTTTTTAACTAAAGTCCCTGAACAGATACTACCATTGATACACACTTAAAGTTTCAGACATAAATTCAGTTAAGATTCCTTTGTTTGTGACAGGGTCTAGTTCTGCAGTCCTGTCTGGCCTCAAATTGCAGATTCTCTTACCTTGACTTCCAAGTGCTAGAATTGCAAGTGTGGTAGCCCTTAGCTTTCACTTACAGATTCTTTCCTATTACCATTTATAATCTTTGTGAAGAGATGCTTTTAATAATTTTTTTTTTTCATTTGAAATAGGGATCCTGCTGTGGAGGAGCAGATTGAAGAGGAAACTGAGAATAAAGCAGAAAAATCAACCATTCAACTGGTAAGAGAAATTTAATTTTATTAATAATAGCAAATATGATGAGATTTTAATCAGTTCAGTTATGTTAAAAGTTTTTGAATGAGTTCATTTCCTGCTTTAATAAGTAAAATCATCATAATTAAATCTTTCTTGAATGATTGATACTCTATAAGGTTATCATTCTAAACTGCATTTCTCTCCTCTTACTGAAAGTTAAAATGAATAGAAAATAGAATTGATTTGCCTGACTGATGGCAAAAATCAGTTTTAAGAAATCTTTTATTTTCTTCCTTTTTTGCAGTGCTGGTGATCAGCTCATGCAAGGGCTCTACCACTGAGTAACATTCCTGGCACTCTCACTTGTCTTTTGAAGGGAAAATTCAAAATGAAACTCCAAACACACACACAGGAGAGAAAGCATATACATAAAGAACCATACTGGTTAGGAAAGTTCACTGAGTTGTTTCTGAAGTTAATTTTTGTATTTTTATTATCTTTACTGTTAGCATAGTAAAGCGAATAAAAGGGAATAACTGAATTACACATTAATATAAACTTTTGTTACCAGATGGTTAATGGTAAAATAAAATTTTTTGTGAATCTCCTATGTCATATTCAATGAAATATTGATGAGCAGTCATTTTGTTAGTGCAATCTGTATCTTCACATAGTTTTTTCCACAGAGTTTTATATAGTAATTGATGTCCACTTAAACATTTCACAAAGTTGTCACTAACGTAGGATAAAAATAAAGTCATCATATTGTTGACCTACATGAACTTATTACTGTGAAAAGTGTAACAAAGATGTACATAGGGTTGTACAGTTGGGTGGAAGGAAGAACCAGGATTACTAGATCCTGAAAAGACATTTCTAGATAGAGAATTAGGAATATAAAAAGCCAGGGAAGTGTATGCTCTGAGTATGGTGTAAATGTTAAATCAAATTTGTAAAAACAGGTGAAGAACAAAAATTTTTCGGTCAGATTTTATGTGATCATTATGTATATCCAAAAAATATTTTGACAGCTAACTTTCATAATTTAAAATTGAAACCAAACACATTGGCACATGCCTGTAACCCATGCTTCTCAGTCAAGAGAATTGCAAGGTCCTGGCAGTTTGGACAATTTAATGAGACTCTTGTCAAAAAATAAAAATAAATAAATAAATGCAAGAAAAGAAAAAAGTGGGAAGGCTATGATGTACTTCAATGACAGAGCAGTTGTTTAGAATGTATAAGGCTCTGGGTTCAATGCTCATTAATAAATAAAATAATATTCTACTTACAACTGTAATATGATGTAAGTAGCAAGCATGAAGTTTGTACTATTTCCTGTTGAGATAGATTAATCCTGAAATTTTGCTTATGTAAAAATTTGATAACTAGTATTACATGATTTTCCACTAACTGTAGAATGCTTATTCTTTTTGAGGATCTTTCTAATTCATGAAATTTTATTACAACTTTTTGGAAAAATTTCAAGACCACAAAAAAATTGCACAAGTAGTATGTTGAATACCTATCTATATGCTTTTCATAAAGATTTAGTAAACTTAACATTTTAAAAATTGTTAGATATAATCTTCATGCCTTGAATGCTATACAATGTCAGTAGTAGTTGGTAGATGTTGATAGAAATGGATGAATATTAATGTAAGGTTCAAACCTTCTAGGGGCAAAGGGTAGGCATTAGTCCTGAGCAGACTTTATTGGTACCCAGTCACTTTCCTGGGTAGTTTTAGATCTGTTGGAAATCTGACAGTCAGATTCATCCACAAGTGGACATTTTTGTAACTTAAACTATTTTTTTATTTTTAATCATATTCCCAAAGTGTCTTGTTGAGATACAACCTGTTGAAGGAAGGTTGTCATCTATTTGTTCTAAGCTCTTTTTCCATTTATCTCTCCAACCAGTTCTTCACAATTAATGTTAATGGACAGTTCAGCAGGACTTACCCATACAGTTATTAACTAACCATTAGCACTGACCATATTAAATCTATAAAAATATATTTTTGAATTTGCAAGATTATTATTACTATTGACAATTGAAAAGATTATATTTTTTGCTAAAGTCATAACTATATTCATTTTCATATTTCTAATAGGTTTATTAGCTGAGTCAATGTAAAAAGCAACATACTGTATAGAATAATCCATATAATGTACATTTCTTGAGAACAGAGAGAATTTTTCATTCTTACTGATATTTTGTGATTCTATCATAATGACCCATGTACAGTTGGAACTTTGTTCTTTTTTTAGTACTTTTCTAATTTTAGTAGTAGAAGAAATGAGGGTATGTATAAAACTAACTTTTTAATGGGTGAATGTTTTATAGGACAAACAGAAGAAGGACATACCTACTGATCTTGTCCCTGTTAACCTACTATTAGAGGTGAAGAAATTATTAAATGCAATCAATACTCTACCAAAAGGAGTGGTTCCTCACATTAAAAAGTTCTTACAAGAAGATTTTTCCTTCCAGACTATGCAGGTACTGTCATAATATATCTTTTGAGTTATGCACTGTTTATGCTTTTTATTTTTTTGTCTCGCCTGATTTCTTGATTTTTCTGGCTAATGGTTCAAGAACTATATTGACCAAAGTGATGATGATGGTGGGCATCCTTGTCTTCTTGTTCTTGATTTTAGATGAAAAGCTTTCAGTAATCCCCCTTTATTATGATTATGGCAGTAGATACTTTATAAATGACTTTTATCAGATAGAGATAAGGTTCTTCTTAACCTAATTTCTTCAACGTTTTTATTTTGACTAGATGTTGGACTTTGTAAAAGTATATTTCTGTGCCAATTAAGATGATCTTGAACTGGGAATTTAGCTCAGTGGCACAAGTACCTGCCTGGCAAGTGCAAGGTTGTGAATTCAATCCCCCATACCAAAAAACAAAAATGATAGAGATAGAGAGACAATCTTGAGATTATTTTTTCTAAAGCAAGTTTCATAGTTATGAATTTCTCTAGGTATTCTTTATCATAGAAATAGCTTATTTTTCCATCATTTTTGAAAGATGCTTTCGCAGGACATATAAGTCTAAGTTAAAAGCTTTCTCTTCTAAGATGTGTAACACTTTTCTCCAAACTCTTCTGACCTTTAAAGTCTGTGTTGAGAAGTCTGCTGTAACTCTAATGGATTTATCTTATTAGTGGTTTGTTGCTTTTCAGTGATAGCTTTTCGGATTCTGTCCCTAGGCTGAACTGGTATTTTGACTATGATGTGTCATGAAGAGGGTTTTTTAAAAATCATGGCTAGTTAAAGTTCTATATGCTTTTCTTATCTTTGTGTTTAATTTTTCTCATATGTTTGGAAAGTTTTCCACTATTATTATTGAATGCTGTTTGTGCATTGAAGAAATAGTCACAAAGAGATTCATCATGCTACTTTAGAAAAATATGAGAACAATGCATCTGGCTGTTGTGGATTTTTGAAAATCTTTTTTATCTGTCTTTTCTAAATGTTCTACAATGAGCATGCATTAATGTGTATAATATAAATATATGTAGACATTTGTTGTAACGTATAGAAATTTTTAACTAAATTTTTTTCCACAGAGAGAAGTTGCAGCCAGTAGCCAAAATGAGGAAGAAATCGTTCCTGCTTTAACTTTACGTTTTTTGATAACACAACTGGAAACAGCTCTTAGAAACATTCAAGCTACTAATTATACTGTAGGTGTTTTCTCTATGAAAGCTTTATGTAATGGACCTGTGTAGCATTTTTCAGTAAGACAGTGGCAATGTGTGCTTATTTTGAGGTATTTGTGTATTTCCTATCTTTAATGAAGAGTACATATAAATTTATTGCCTGACACTTTTTATAGTGTACATTATACTTTCTTATGCAACTATATGTCTTCAATGAACTTATTGTAGTCCCCTTTACCAGATTTTTCTATCATAAAGAAACTTGAATTATAAAAATGGAGTTTCTGACTTAGAAATGGAGATTCAAGAACTTCAAAAAATAAGCCAGGCACAAAAACAGATACTGCATTACATTTCATCTAAAAATATTGAACTCTTACAAGTAAAATATAGACTGGTGGTCACAAGGAACTGGGAGGTAGGTAGAGTTTGAGATCTGAATCCAAGGATGCAGAATTCTAATTAGATAGGAGGGTAATTTTTCCCCCACAGAAAAAAATGATAGCTATATGATGTAGTACATGCATTAATTGGCTTGATTTAATCATTCTACAATGTACACAGATTTCAAAACATGTAGGTGGTAAATATATACAATTTTTATTTGTCAACATAATAAAGAAAAAAACTTCCCATTTCTCCTAATTATTAATCAGCTTCTATTCTGATATTTCTATGTTTGAAAAAAATCAGAACATCTGTCATAGACAAAATTTTTAAAATACATTTATCTAAGATCAAATAATAGTTTAGAAATAAATGGAACAATCTGAGGGAGAAAATTATGAAAAATATTAGAACACTGTTGGGTGTGGTACTCAAACCCTTTAATCCATGCTATTCAGTGGGGTGAAGCAGGAGGATCACAGATCCCAAGCAAGCCTGGGATTTAGCAAGAGTCTATCTCAAGATAAGAGAGAGAGAGAAAGAGAAAGACAGAGACAGAGACAGAAAGACGGATGGAGGGAGGGAGGAAGAGAGAGAGAGACAGAGAGAGAGAGAGAGAGAGAGAGAGAGAGAGAGAGAGAGAGATAAGGATGGTAGACCATTTGCCTAGCATACATTAGATTGTGCAATCAATCTCCAGTACTGCAAGAAGAAAAAAATTACAACTAGTAAGGCAGTACAATAAAGTAAATAAAAAATTCTTTTTTTAAATTTTTTTTTATTTTTTTATTTTTACTTTTTGAGACAGGGTTTCACTGCATTTCAGGCTGGCCTTGAGCTCACTTTGTAGTCCAGGTTGGCCTCAAACTCAGTGATCCTCTTGTGTCAGTCTCCTGAGTGCTGGGATTACAGGCATGCCCTACCATGTTCTACAGAAAAAGTTTTTTGTATAGTTAGATCAGTAGAATAACTATTACATGTGCATAGAAGAATAATTAGGGTTATGTTCAAAAAGAACTATGCAGATACCTTAAAGCCTAAAATATTAAATTCCATAAGATAATGGTGTACAAAGAAGTAATTAAAACTAATTCTTTAGTGCCCTCAGGACTAGAGTTCTAAACATTGATATGTGATGCTCCAGTGGAGATTCTGGATGGATTCGAAAAATGAAACAAAGAAAAAGAAGTTTAAGGCTTACTATCCCCAGAACTTCTTGGATGCTGCATACCTATATTTATTTCTGACTAGATTTCCAATCGTGAAATAAATCAGTATAAAATAAACATTAACAAATACCCATTGCTTAGCCTTTCTATACTTAGTAGTCATTACTTCAAAGATAATCTTAAACTAGGAAATGGAAGAGCTTACCATCTTAGTACCATTTGTGGGCTGAATTGGAGTTATGATTGAAGCAGCCTGCTTGGTGCTTTATCCTCATGATTATTCTCTCCCTGAATTCCATTTAAGACCGCCTTGCAGGACACAATAGTGGGATTTTGGGGCTGAGACGTAGATGACAATGACATTTGTGTTAGCATTTGGTTCTAGTACATGGAATAAGCTCTGCTATCTGGGATAAGGTAGGAAGAAAGGATAAGGGCTCTAGGTTACAAATGTTCTACTTACATCTTTACATTTCCAGAACTTTTTTGCCTTTTCATAGCATTGCTATAATTCTATACCTTCTGAAAAAAAAATGGCGTTATTTAGAATTGTATAAGCCATGGACTATGTTATATGAATCTGGCTTTTTACAAAGTTACAAAATCATAATTCATACTTGGGTAGTGCTTACTATGTGATATCCACTTTTCTAAGTGCTTATAAAGATTGACTCATTTACTTTTCATGACTACTGAATCTTATTTTTTCATTTAATACGTTAGGAAATTGATACATGTAGGTTAAATAATTTGCTAAATTTACCTGGTAGCAGGTAATGGAGCGAGTATACCACCAATAATAGTCCTGGCTTCAGAGTCCAGCCTATGAACTATGACATCATACTGCCTCTGCACATATGGGAATATCAACGTTAAAACCAGTTAGACACTACAGGGAGTTTTTATCTGTAAATTTAGTCCACTGAGGAAAAAAAAAAAAAAGAAGCATACATCTATCTCCACTAAGTTTGAAGCCCAACTTCTAACTCTAGTGTGTTGTCTCAGAAATGTATACTGTTAGTGATAAGAAGTATTCTCCGTGCAAGAATACAGTTAGATGAATACACATAGAAAGCTTATAGCCTATTTACTATCCTTATGTACTTTTGGAAAAATCTTGTTTATGATATGGAGCAATCTCAGTGAAAATAGATCATATGACAAAATATGGCCAGAATCTTCTGTAAGTATAGAATTAGCAAAAGAAATTAGGATTTGCTAGAAAAACAGAATCTCAGAGAAACTCTTTGCCTGCTATGTGCTAAAATTTCAGATTCCCAATAGAATTTCCCGTGACTAACATAAATCATGTTGTTTGCAAAGTAGCACAGTGAACTATCTTCATTGGCTAGTTAATAGTGGAAAATTTCTGAAATCCAAGTTTCCAAATATCTTTGTAGTCACACCCACTGTTCCTCTCCCTCCCCATCTTTCTTAATCTTTAATATGTTTCCATCTCTAATTTTGCATACTTTAGACTTAGGTGATGGAAATAGCTATGCATTCTAATTTTTCATTGTAAGAGTGATAAGTTTTATGTTTATGTTGTTGTGACAAAACCCATATGAGAAGAGTAATGAATTTTGATATAACAGATCATTGCATTTTTTAAGGTAGGTGGTAGATATTTTTCTGTTGATGTATTATCGAAAGTATTCCTCAAACTTAAAATACTATATAATGAGACAATTTTTGGAAGGTTTAATGTAACAAAATTTTGCTTTCATTTCAGTTGTTTTCATTTTCTTTAAACCAAATCCCTCTTCTTGGATCAAATTATCGAATACATAATATTATTTATAGTAAATACTAAATGATAGGTAATATAATGATAATTTTTACTATATAATTATTTAATAGACCTAAGATATTTAATTAAGCTTGCTATACTGAAAAGTAGCTCCTTTTATGTATATCTAACATTTTTCTTTCTTTGTAGGCACACCAAATTGATATTGGTTATTATTTGACATTACTGTTTTTGTATGGAGTAGCACTCACAGAAAGAGGGAAGAAAGAAGTATGTATGTATTTGTGTGGGGCCCATTATAAATCTGTATACATACATTGACTTCATTTTAGCAGGTTAAAATAATGATTTAAAATAAAAATTCTAGAACATTGAGTCCATTCATGGAATTTTCTATCATGTATTTGCATTGTAATTATGTCAAATATTATATTATTAAACTAAAAATACAGGCAGGGATACAGCTTAGCGGCACAGCTCCTGCCCATCAAGTGTGAGGTCATGAGTTTGATCCCTAGTACCAAAAAAAAAAAAAAAAAAAAAAACTTTAAAATGACATTGTAAAATATGGGCCAGAGGTTTAGCTCAGTGGCATAAGCATCTGCCTGGCAAGTGCAAGGTCATGAGTTCAATCCCTGGTACCAAAAATAAATGAATACAATAAAATAAAAATACATAGGAAGATCTTGATGTTAAGTTACAGATTCAGTTATTTTAACATTATTTCAAACATCTTTTTCATTTTCTAAATGCTTATTATATGTGTAAAATACAAAATGATCTATAAAACTTTGTCTCAATTTATTTTCTGATGTAGATTAATCTCTCTCTTAATCGTATCCTTTTACAAAACATGAATAATATCTTTAAAAAAAAGTGAGGTGCATATAAAAGTCCGATAACTAGGTAGAAAATGTCTAAAGTTTCAATTTTATCTTTTTTTTTTTTTTGCATGTGTGTGTGTCTTTTAGACATGACTTTGCTCTGTAGTTCTGCCTGCCCTTGAGCTCACTTTGTAGCCCAGGCTGGTCTTGAACTTGCAGCAATCCTCCTCCCTGAGCCTCCCAAGTACTGGGATTATAGGCATGTGCCACCATGCCTGGCTTGTTTCTTTTTCTGATATTTGTGTTTCTTTCTTTTCTTTGTAACCTTGACATTTCTTTGCTCTTTCTGCTTCCAAATCTGTACCCTTTACTTGGTTTTATAAATTAAATATATGATTGTGACTTGTTACAAAGTAGAGTTAATAACAGTGAAAATGAAAACATTTCTGTCTTAAGTAATTTCATGCAATACAATTTATTATTTAATGTGATGTACTTGAAAATATTTTTAAACAGGGTCATCCAGCATTTTAATTTTTTTCCAGAGAAACCAATGCCATTATTCCTATTTCATTATGACTGAAGCATCTATTACAATTGATATGGAGTTTTATTTCTGCATTGCTTATGATAAAGATGTGCTTCCCCCAAAGAAACTATGTCTTCAGTCAAGAAGGCATTTCTCAGCTGGAATCAGTGGTACACACTTTATGATGCCAGCACTCTGGAAGACTGAGGCAGGGGGCTCTCAAGTTTGGGCCCAACTTCTAAAACTTACCAACATAATGTGACCCTGTCTCCAAATTTTAAAAAATACTGGAAATGTTGTTACACTTTACTATGTAAAGGTCCTGGATTCAACCTATAATGCCAAAAATTTAAAGGAAGTTGTTTATTTCCTATTTGAAAAATTAGGAAAACCTGTGGTGCAATTAGAAGAAATTATAAAGAATTACAAAGAATTGTGCTCTAGACATTCACAAAGCCCCTATTTTGGCAAGTAATATTTGTCTCTTTTATATATAAAAATTACAATAATTTTTCACTTTGAATGCTGATGTTGCACTTCTGTTTATAGATAGATATTTTAGGTACTAAGTAGATTATCTATCTTTGTGATTGCATACAGAAGTACTAAGAGATGTGAAAAAATCACTCTTAAAGTTGTCTTTATTTCTCCAGTTTGGGAAACAGTTTTTTATTGTAAAAGAAATAAATGTTTTTCATATCAACCCAGTTTATGTTATTGTTTATGTTATTGCAGGATTATACAGAAGCAGAGAATAAATTTCTGGTGATGAAGATGGTGATCCAAGAAAATGAAATTTGTGAAAACTTTATGTCTTTAGTCTATTTTGGACGTGGCTTACTTCGATGTGCTCAAAAGAAGTAAGGGTTTCATTTAATTAGGTAGATCTTTAGTGTCAACTTTCAGCATTGTAAAGTGAGAATAAAATTTAATAGTATACAAGGGATCATGATATTTATGCTTGTACATTGTTTTGTTCTTTTTTATCTTTTCCTATAGATAATTTCTTTAATACACTTAAAAATACTAAATAGAAAACTTAAAAGACTGTGGCAATACGAGGCATCCTAGCATTGACATTATGACCATGGGCTTTGGAGTCTGACAGACCTGGGTCCATATACATTATCTTCCACTTCACCTATGAAAATTCATGTTGTTAACCTTTATGTTTTTAATCTCTAGAATGGTACCAATAGTATTTTACCCCTTATAGGTGGTTAACAGTAACTGGAACATAAAATAAGTAGTACTTAATAAATGAATGATGGTTATAATTTTTAATATTATCACCAGTGTCTTAGGATAGAGTTTTAAGGTTTAAATTTGTTTATAAAGGGCTGAAAGGGTCCAAATGCTGAGTCTGAGGAATATTGGTTATTTTGTATTTTAAGAAAGTGAAACTGTACAGTTACATAGATTATCTGTTTACTTCCTAAATGGAAATCCTTAGTCTTTGTAGCATTATCATTGATTTTATTTGCTAACCATGTATCACAGTCCAGAAACTGTGCTAGGTGATGGGGGAATAGTTCTTATCCTCATGTAGCACATTGTATGGTGAAGGATATAGACTTTAATAAAGTAATCATTCATAAAATACTCAGTTATGAAATGTAAATGCTAAAGATCTATGAGGGAATATACAGTGAACAATATAAGCCTTTATTAGAGCTCTGGCCTAACTTTAAAAATCAGAACTCTCCCTCAAGAAATAGTGGTTTAGTGAGATTTACAGAATGAATCAGTGTTTACTTGAGCAAATCCCTATAAATTGTTACTGCTGCGCCAAATTATACCTAAAAATGTCACCTGTATGATAGTTTTTTTGTTTGTTTATCTCCTGTGTCTGTGGCATGCCTTTCTTTTTTTTTTTTTTTTTTCCACAAAGATACTTAAAAGTCTTCCCATTTGCTAGGTCTGATTAATATGAAGCCACACATTTAGTGGGCTAACATGCTTTACAAAATGCTAAATAATCAGAATTTCTTCAGTCTGTATTGTGAGAGAGTAGGAGAATTAACATAGCATGAGACAGGACAAAGGTTGTTTACTGCTGTCCTTTCTTACAACTATTTATGGTTTTTATGTAAACTTTTATGTTTATCTGTTTATGTATAGGCATGGGAAAGAATTAATTTTCTAGATCACTGACACTAGAAAACACAGTTGTATGATAGCATCCCTGTCCTCTAGAAGACAACCCATTACTGAGATTCTCAGCCATTGGTATTATTGCTCTGTATTTCTTATTGTTCTAGCAAATGAAGAGTTCTGTGAGCCTTCCCAGGAACATTGTCTACATTGTCTAGTGATGAGCTCTATGTTGTTTGTTCTTTGTGGTGCTGGGGATTGAACTATGGGCCTCATGCATACTACCCCTTTCCTCTTATTCCTGAGCCGCTTTGCAGGCCAATTTCTATGTCATTATGCAGTAAGTTCATTCTAAAATCTTACTTTTGTGAGTCTTCTGACTCATTTTTACTCTGCCAAGAAATTACTACCCCAAGCATTTCTACCCCAATTAGTATGGACCATTATTATTATTATTATTTAAAGAGTAAGAACAATAGTAGAGAATTTCATAACAAGATTAATAGGAAATCAACAATGGTAAATATATTGCCTATTGTTACCTTCAAAGTGGTTCATCAGATTAGAAGTTACAGGTATACAAAATTGATAAAACATGCTGGGGGTTTAGCTCAGTGGCACAAGCACCTATCTGGCAAGCTTGAGGTCTTGAGTTCAATCCTCAGTACAAATTGGGCTAGGGATATAGCTAGGCAACACAGCACATGCCTGGCAAGTGTGAGGTCCTGAGGTCAATTCCCAGTATCAAAAAACAAAACAAAACAAAATTGATCAACATAAGCACAAAGCATTCTTTTCAAAGAAGATAAGTTAGTAGTATAATTATCTTAACTATCTTATATATATATATATATATATATATATATTCTTTTCCCTTCCTTTCTCCTTTCCCCCATTCTAGTTGTTCTTTCCTCTTGAACAGTTTCTTTCCCTTTCACGATATCTATTGTAGATTTTGCTTCTTATTTACTCTTTCAGTTTTTTATGCTAGGGAGATAATACGATGTTTACATATGTGAGTCTGATTTATTGCACTTATGCATCCATTTACCTATAAAAGCCTTGAGTTTATCCTTCTTTATAGCTAATAGTATTCCTTTGTATAAAAATGCCACATCTTTATCCAAAATTTTAGTAGTATTTTTGGCAGTGTGGTAAGACTGGCTTCATTTGGTCTCTTTTTTAGGAATGTGTATCTTGAATTCTGTGAAAATTGTTTCCTATTAATATACACTTCATTATTCAACTTTGTTTTTGCCCATTGATTTATACTTTTAATATTCTGATGCGTGTTTCTGCCTATGTATATACAAGTAGGCTCTGCAAATCTTACAGCGAACAATTTTTTTTCCTAGGCAGAGACTTTGTTTTCTTACTTGGACTCTCCTTTATCTGAACTTAGACATACTTTTCTGAAGGCAGTAACAGGACATTGAAAGATGATGAAGAAGAAAAGCATCTTCTGATACATGCATTTCTGATGATATTTTCACATAGACTCTACTTAATGAGGCTTTATGATTACATCTTGTTTTCACAGTGTGACCTGAATCAATAGTTGGTTGACATGTAACTCTCATTCTCTTTCTTCAACACCTCCAAGACAGTTAACAAAAGCCAACTAATTCTACCAATCCTTTCATTAAAGTGGCCCCCGTTTTATTTAGCATTGAGTTACTACATAATTTATTGCCTGCCTTCCATCTATATGTCATCTCAATCTACCATAGGTGACAGTTCTAGTATTTATATTTGTATGGCATGCCAGAGGTTATCACCACTCTACTTAACACAAAAGGGGTTACTTGTTACTTCATTGGTAAAGTGTACATTGTTAGAGTACCCTTCAGTCTAACTGTATTTTAAAATGCCTTACAGATATAATGGAGGGCTGCTAGAATTTCATAAAAGTTTACAAGAAATAGGAGATATAAATGATCATTGGTTTGACATAGATCCTACAGAAGATGAAGACTTACCAACAACTTTTAAAGTAAGAAATAACTTTATCTGTAACCTATCAGAATCATCTTTGATAAAGTATCATTTAAGCCAACTACATAATATTCTGGACGAAGCACTTTCTGTTATTGGAAATTTGCTTTTCATAGAAAAACACTTGAGCTTTTATTACCTAGGGTGCAATGTATGATTCAACACGTAAGAAAAGTGTTGTAGTAAGCAAGATGAAATGATTAATATCCATGCTAGTCTGGTACTTTATATGGTTAGGGTCAAATGTAATAGTGATTTTTAAACTTATATTTACCATTATTATATTAACTTGTAAACAGTCAATGCTTTGTTCATAAAATTTGGCAAACGATGCCCAAAGATAAAAGTAAAATTTATACATATTTGTTCAAATGGAGAAGCAATTATTAGCCTTTTTCTTTTTACTTTTCTTTTTATGTTTATTTCTTTTCTATTCTATTCTATTCTATTCTCTTTTCTATTCTATTCTATTCTATTCTCTTTTTCTTTACCTTGGCTTCCTTTTTCTTTCTTTCTTTTTTTGTGGCACTGGTATTGAAGCCAGGGCATTTGCACAGAGCTACATCCCCAGCCTTTTTTAAAAAAATTTTTTATTTTAAGACACAGTCTTGCTTAGCTGTTCAGGCTGGTTTTGAACTTTCTGTTCTCCTGCCTCAGCCTTCTAGAGTGCTGGGATTATAGGCATGTGTCACCAGTCCTGGCTAACATTTTCATTTGTGTCTTCCCACACAAACTTACAGGTACAAAAACTCAATACCTTGTATTTTTCTAAATTGATTTAATGCTAAATATTTGCATTTGTGGTCTGGAAATATATAGTAGTTTTAATTGCCAGTAATTAGATTATTATAGAACATTATTTTTACATAGTACCTCATATAACTATACTTTAACGCAGTCTTTCCAGTTGAATATTTAGTTTATCTTAAATATTAGTTTTTTATTCTTTAATTGATTAAGTGATCTTTGCATATTTTTCACATCATTCCATTAAAATGAATTTATAAGGGTGGAATTTTGAAATGGGTGTTTACCTACTTATATTTCTACATGGTCCCTCAGAAAAATTGTACCGGTTTATATTAAGAAAATATGAGTGTCATTTCCCCATACTTTTTGGTGTTCTTTATCTTTTGGGTAATTTTTTTCAAAGCTATGTAAGTTTAATTAATATGAACATAGCTATATCAGGTTGTTTAAAGTTAATGTTTGGATAAAATCTTTTTATATTTATATTTTATATTTAAACTGACTTAAGTATATAAGTATATTCATATTTTAACTGACTTTTACCCCAAACCATTCCTCAAAATAAAAAAGAATATTTCATAAAAATGCAAAATTTATTTATTCTGGTCTATGACAACTCAAAATTTATGTAGTTCTCATAACAGGTCCTCAACTTGTACGACAAAATTGACAAAACTAAAAGAGAAATTAACAAATTCCAATTATGGTAAAATAATTTGATGCAGTAGACTATAATAAATAAACTGTACAGATTGTTTTTGATATTGTTGAGATAATCATATGACTTTTAACTTTGACTTATTATAGCTTTTTAGGTATTGAACTTCTATCCCTGCCTGCCTTCCTGGTAAAATACTCTTCTCTTTTCTTAGCTCTTGCAATGAATGTTTATTTTGCAAAGTATGAAGTTTGCCAGAAAAAAAAGAAAAAGCATTTCTTTTGGCTTTTTTGAGACAACGTCTCAACGTACAGTTCAAGCTGGCCTTGAGGTCACTTTGTAGCCAGGCTGGTCTAGAACTCACAAGGATTCTCTTGCTTTAGTCTGCCAATTGCTGGGATTACAGGTGTGTGCCACCACACCAGGCTTAAAAAAGAAAAAAGAAAAAAGCATTTTTAAAGGTCTTAAAAATTAAGTTTCTTCTCTGTCATCTCTAATACCTAGAAGTAAATCCAATTCTTCTAAAACATCTTTTTTTGTTTATTTACCTATTTTTCAAAAAAACTGGTATTCTAAGATTTTTTTCACTTCAGGTATTATCTGGACTTTCCATTTAATACACATACACTTTTATATACCTATGCGCCCACACACACACACACACACACACACACACACACACAGTTACTCTCATATTTTATCAGTAGGTTAAATTCTTATTAAATTGACCTCACCATGAAAGTGCTCATTACTTTTCTATTATGTAGAACTCTGTATTTCTTAGAATTCAAATTTTCCTCTCTTTAGGTTAGCTCTCTTGTTTTAGTGGTGCAACTACTTGAGCAGCTTCCCATAAAAGAGTGCTTGTTTGGGATGTAAATTCTTTTGCAAGCTTAAAGTCATTTACTTTTGTCACATTTCATCTATATTTTGCCTGCGCATTGTGAGTTGACAATAATTTCTAAAAGTATTTTCTGTTATCCTTTGTCTCAGTGTTTACTATTTTAAGGAAATCTGATGTTACTCTGATTTTCAAAACTTTACATGTGATTTGTTTTCTACTTTTGTTCTACGAGTTTTAAAGGCAAATTCTTTGTACCAACAATGTTCAGAACTTGTTCTCTATTCTGATATAATTTCTTGATTTATGTGCTTACTACTTCTTAATTTCTTCTTTTCTTTTTTCAGTGCTTATTGTCAGATTCTTTGCATACTGGACTGATTCTTTAGTGTTATTTCTTTTGTATTTTTAATCTTTTTATTTGTTCAGCCTTCTGATAGATTTTCTCAACTTTTTCTGTGTGTACTGATATGTATGAAATAATCTATAGATGATTATTTGTCATGCCATATGCATTTAAAATACTAAAAATAATTCTATCAGAAATTCAGTGTGACCTAAGAATAAATATTAAAGATGCTGCCTAAACACCGGTGTTTCACTAATATTTAATCAGCATTTTAAATGTGAAATTATGTTTCAAGTTGTAATTATTGGCATTGGAAGTAGTTCAAGAGATGAAGGGAGGGGGAAAAGGAAGAGATAGGGGCTGATAAAAAATTACAATGTATTATGTACATGCACCAACTCCACACAAATTAGGTAAACATTATGTACTGCAAATGTATATTAATGAAACATTTTTTAAAAATTAATAAAGGAAATGTATTTCTATACTGTACCTTTGCCTGTTATTGCAAATAACAATTTGCAATACTGAATGATGTGTTATACCACTGTAGATACCAATGTAGTATCCTAGAAGCTGATTCTGGTGTGTGTGTGTGTGTGTGTGTGTGTGTGTGTGTGTGTGTGTGTTTGTGTCAAGTAATTCTTAATAGGAACATGCCCAAGTGTTATGGTATAGGTTAAGATGGTGAAATACAGTTTCAAACATATGCATCTCTCTTTTCTTTATTTTGTATCATTCAGTCAGAAATTTAGTATTTCTAGTTTAGAGACTTGCTATATATTAATTACTTTGAATGAGGGAAATGTATTTATTCTATTACTGTCTTTTAAAAAATATGTATACAGATTCTTCAAAAAGGGACATTGTATGGACATACTACTTACAATAAACATTAGAAATATTATTTTAATTTTTACTAATTCATGAAAATTCTTTTTCTTTTAAAATTTAGGATCTCCTCAATAATTTTATCAAGACAACTGAAAGTAATATAATGAAACAGACCATTTGTAGTTACCTAGATTGTGAGCGATCTTGTGAAGCGGATATTTTAAAGAACACAAATTATAAGGTAGTATAATTACCAGTTAATTATTTTTTAAATGTAATTATCAAATTAAAAGTAGTTAATTTAATTATAGTGGCTCTACAATTGGGAAGTTTTTTGACTATCTCTGAGATATATTCTGAGTCAATAAAAGAATGAATTGGTTTTAGAAGGTTTTTATAGTATGTACTTTGAAATTTATAACTATTATACCTATTATTATACAGCAAAAGTAATCTAAAATTTGTTTATAGTTAGAAATATTAGAGGTTGAGAATAGTAGCATTTCTTTAAGAACAGAGATTGTGCTCCTCAGTAATTATCTGAGTATTATCTCTTCCATGAGTCTTTGTGAGAGAGTGGTTGAGAGAGAGAGAGTTTTGATATAAAGAAATCCAACAATTAGAGCACTTCTAATAAATTTCTCTGAATCAGTTAGAACAAGACTGTGAAATCACAAGGTGGAATAAGATGTGGACATCAGTAAAAATTAGACCTCACTTTAAAAGATAATTGAAACCTCAGTTGCAAGGCCTAATGTAGTACAGTAGTTAGGAAAGATGGAGAGAGACACAGCCAAGATCTGTTCATTAGGATGGAAGACCAGTACGTTGACCGTGTGAGGTACAGTGATCAGGGCCAGGCACTTCTGTTTGGTTTAGATGACCTACTAATGTGGTCCTAAGCCAATGCAGGGATCCAGTCCAATAAACAGTTGCAGCATAGAGTCCTAGGCAGGTAGAGTTTTATAATCTAAGCAGAATTCCTATTAAAAGGAAATCGGTATGTTTCCCAGGATGTTTAGAATAGGAAATACAAAAAGTCCATCTCCTGAGGTAACACAGTACTCAGGTGCTGTTACCAAATGAACAAATAAGAGCTGTGGGTGATGGATGACAGCAAATTCAAAGAGTAATGCTGTGGAGTGGAACTGGCGGAAAAGAGGAACGTAAAAATGAAGGTGAAGAGGAGTACACATATATTCCTCTATAGATAACATTGGTTTAGTTTCTACTATTTTGTAGTAAAATCAATGCTTTTTTAAAACTGTCATAATTTTTCAGTTTTTAAAGATGTAAAGTTCTTTGGTGATCTTAATCTCTGCTGGTAAATTTTGAATTCTGTGTAAAACTTTTCAGTTACAGTTTTAGAAATGAGGTGAAGTAATATTTTCTGTATCTACTTTGCTATTTTCATTATCAACATCTTACTTTCCTCCCTCAAAGGGTTTTTTTCAGTTAATGTGCAGTAAAAGTTGCTGTGTTTATTTCCACAAAATTTGTTGGAAAAAATTCAAGAATTTAAAATATCCAGGTGAAAATGATCAGGTATTATATTTGTTTTTCTTTCTCAAACTTTACTATAGCATTTCTTCTTCTCTTTTCTTTATGCCATCTTCTTTTTCATTTTTTCTGTTCCCATTTTGTTTTCCTTCTCCTTTTTTCTTTCTTTATTCTCTCTAATGTAAGCACCATACTCCCATACTCATTCATCATTATCATTTACTAAACAGCTCTTTACAGAGGGTGTTTTGCTAGTTGCTTTTCTTAGTGATTTGTGTCAATTTGTTCTCTTCCCTCTAGAAGTTAATCCTCAAGGATAGAAATAGTGTTGCATATATGCCCATGAAGGATATACAACCAAAAAGTAGAATTGCTTAATAACCATACAAAAAGGTTAATTGCATAATTTTAAGAATAATTTTTATTTTAACAGTGAGAATAAGGAAAAACTTTCATTTCCGTATTTGGATTTATTTATATTGTAAGTTATTTACCACTGAAGTGAAGTGGAAACCCAAAATTCATTCTATATTCATTAATCTTTAGTGAGCTAATTATGATAAATTGAGTCTGTTACTTTTGGTCCTATAAGGTTTGCTCTGTGAAAAAACAGAAAAACTTTATAAAGCCATTGTGATATAATAGAAAGATCATTGGATGCAGAGTTGGTAGAAGCCACTTACTAATTTTATTACATTTAACTTGTAATTTAACTTGTAACTAAGTGTAACTTTTTCTGTTCTAAAGTGAGGATAAGATAAACTTTTGTAGATTTATTGTTAAGTATAAACAGATAAAGCACATAAGCTAGCACTGCAAACTGTAAAAACAACAGGCATTATCATTTTTTAAAATACCATGAAATACTTTATAGTTTCTTTCATTGTCATGGCAGTGAATGTCAGTCATCGTTAGAAGGAGAAATAAAAGAAACACAAATAACTTAACCAAACGAAATAGCAAAGTCAGAACCAGAGAAAAGACTTCTCTTTTTCTCTAGAATCCTCACTTATTCTCTGGAATCCTCAAGTATCCAGTTTCAATATTTTTAAATGTTTGCTTAATTAGTACATCTACATAAAGTTGTTTTTCATGGAGCAGCAAATATATTTTAGCCTGTAATATAGCTCCTTAAAGATTTTGAACTAGAAATGATCAGAGAAGACAGTCATTGATATAGGACATGGACAACCTATGAACAGCTAACTCACATGTTTAGCAATAGCTTTCATTTTGCCGTATAGCAGCATCTGCTCTAACTATGTGCACTCAAATTTGTACTTTAGTGAATTATCTTTTTATTGTTTTTCTATTAATAACTTTAGAGTTTTAGTGGCAAAAAGTGTTTGAAGGAAGAATGCACAGGTGACATGGTAAGGATGCTACAATGCGATATACCTGGAATTGTTAAAATTTTGGTAAGTATCTTTTTCTTACTTTTCTTGTTTACCTTCACTGGAGTAGAATTTTTGTCTTGAAACAGATTTGAAAAGATTAATAATAAGATCCTAGCCATATATTCCTTGAGGTAGATTAGCTCCTCTGATCTTTCTATTCCTATGATTAATGAAAAGTGATCTTTAAGAATAAGAAAATTTAAGAATAGTGACATAGAGAAATAATTAAATTTGACCTGAATTTACCGATAAGATTATCATGAGCCAAGGATTATTTATTTCTGTGCCACATAACATTAAAAGTAATTTTAGAAGTTCTGAAACTATTTTAGTCTATAAATATCTTCCTATGAGTATATCTATAGATTATAATTAATGAAGTATCATGTTGAATTTTCAGATTACTATAAGCCAGACTTACAAGTAGAAATGAATTTTACTTAATCTTTAATTCTATTTTTGTATTTCAAATTGTGGTATTTAAATCTTATTGTACTGTAAAGTAGAACAGTGTTTTAAAGGTACTTTGCTTTGTTATTTTTAAAAAGATTATATGTTGCTAACCATTCTGTTTTGTTTTATATTCACTATGGATTTATTATTGTCTCTTTTTAAATGTAAAGACTAAAAGATCACATTAAAGAATCTTGGAAATTTACTTTAGGGCTTTTTTTCATCACTTGCAGTTTGAAGTTGTGAGAAAGGATGAATATGTAGCCATTGAAAATTTAGGAGCAAGGTAAGCTTGAAATAAAATATTGTGTTACTATTTCATGGATATATATATATATATATATATATATATATATATATATATATTTTAGTTGTTCTTAGAACACTGCTAAATTGTATGGAAGTATTAGATGTTTAGATTTCAGTATGAAAAATCATACTGAATCTCCTGCCATTTTTTCCTCTCTCTATTCCGACTAGTTTAAACATTTGTATTTTAAAGCAAAGGACAAAAAAAGGTGAGTATTTTTCTCTTACATGTAAAAGGTCCTTTGTTAAAAACAAAACATACTTGTCTTAAAGTTGTTGTTTAAGTTAGGTTTTCACGAAGACTTTGTCTTATCCTTCAAATTTTATTCGGGCCTCTAAACTTGCCTCACAATGGGAATCTTTCTGTTTCTTAGATGAGAAAACTTTAGTGGTAAATAACACACACACACAGAGACAGATTTTAAGCTGGGAAGTCAGGGAGATGTAGTGTTATAATTAAAATTAGAAGTTTTGATATAAGAAGTTATTTTAAACCACTGATTTTTTCCTTCTGTTTAAAGTATAAATATGTATAATTTTCTGTCTACACAAGGATAATGCATGTATAGCTAAGACCTCAGTTTTCCCTTAATGGAGTCAAAATCTGAATGTAGCACAGATCTCTCTGTTAAAGCTTTGACCTGTGCATCTTTCTGCATCCTGAATATTTCTACCTTTATCTTTATGAAATAATTCAGCATGTCTAAAACTGAACCCTTGATCTTCTTTGCAACATTGCCCTATAACTCTTACATGTCTGTAGCCTTGCATTTCACTAGTCTTTCACTAACATAGCTGTCAGCAGGACTTTTCTTAAATAAAAATTAAAATATATCACTTTTGTGCTTGAAAGTCTTTCGTAAGTTTCACGCTGCTCTTAAAACCAAGATTCCGTGCTGTCAATCTTCAGTTATCTTGAAACCCACTGAATTTAATAGTGTCATCTCTTGCTTTTACCACATGCCAAGCTTCTTTTAGTTATATAGTCTACACTATCTATACTAAGCTTCTTTAATTTCTTCATTGTGTCATCTCATAAAATGTCCGGATTCTTAACCAAAAGTAAAACTGTTCTGTTTTACAGGCCTTGCATGAATCAGTCTGCTCCTTTGCGTTTAACTAGTTAAAGCATCTGAAAAGCCTTCCTTAATGAAAGTAGATGTTTTTATCATATATTCTTTCAGGTTAAAATTTACTAACTTTATTGTACCTTGGCTTTTTCATTTTCTATAATCTTCATGAGAACAAGCGCTTTATTTTGCATGTATCATCATGCCTGACACATAGTTCGTACCCATAAATATACAGTAATTGTAGAGATTATAAATTTCATTATTCTCCAATGGAATGTATAATTTACTTTTGTTTTAATCAGTAGTTAACCTGGTTGAATGTGAGTTGTCAATTCTGTTTTTAGGAGATAGTAGCTCTAGCCTCAATCTAGCTACCTATTTTTAATCTATTTCACAGTTTTGTGGTACAGGTGTTCTGACAAGAAATGGAGCTTGAAAGAATTTAGAGATTTCTTGTCTGTCTTTCCCTTGTAGGATTCTCCCATCTCTTCAGTGGTCATATGTCTCCAACTTCAATTTTCTGACTTCTTCAGCCAAACAATCCTTAGATTTGCATGACATCACCATGTTTATTCCTGGTACTTGGAATTTGTATTGCTCTTTTTCCTTTTTCCATTCTTATCAGAGATTTATTCAGTTTTGCTGCTCTTACTAAAGAATCAGCTTTTAAAATTTCACTGATTTTTCATTTGTAATTCCATTGATTTCTGCTCTTTGTTATTTATTTGTTTCTACTTGCTTTGCATTTAATTTGTTTGTATGAAGATGAAAGCTTTTACTATTGGTTTGAAGTCTGTTCTTTACAAACTGTTTTCCCATAAGCTGTTGTTTTAAATATATCCCATACATTTTGCTATATGTAAATATTTTTTTATTACATTGAAAGTGTTTTCCTATCTAGGTGTCTGTGTGTGTGTGTGTGTGTGTGTGTGTGTGTGTGTGTGTACGTACCCAGGGTTACTTGGAATTGTGTTGCTGAATTGTGAAATGTTTACGAACATTTCAGCTGTCTTCTCAGATATTTATCCCTAATTTAATTCCTGTGATTACACAATATCTTTTTCAAGTACTATAATCCTTTATAATTTGTCATTTTGCTATGTGATGCATAATATTTTATATTTTGATGATTTTTGAAAAACATCTTATTCTACTTTTGTTTGAAGTGTCCATATATATTGCAGAAGTTAGTTTGTAATCTTGTTTCAGTGTCCTATATCAATACTAATTTTCTGTTTAATTTTTCTTTCAGTTACTGAGAGGAAAATGTTAAAATCTGGTGCACAATCTATTTTGTGTTTGTCTGTTACCTGTTTGTGTATTTTGCAACTGTTTTAGTAGCTTCTACATACATTTAGGGTTATATTTTCTTGGTGAATTGACCCTTATATCTTTATATAATATTCTTATTTTCCTTAGTAATATTCCTCTGTCAAGTCTCTCTGATATTAATGTAGCAGCTGCATTTTACATTTTAACTAGTTTATTTTTTTCTTGAGTTTTTATTTTTTTGTTGGTACATATTTGCTGTAATAAGAATCACATTTCTCATGGGGAGTTGGTACTTGTACATAATACATCTCAATTCTTTTTTCATCCTCTTGTGCCCTCTCCTTTCCCTTCTGTCCATCTCTTGGTTCCATTCCCATTTGCAAAAGATTTGTCTCTCTATTTCCTGTTACCTTTTACTTTGCTCTTAATTTATATTTTGCATTTTGCATATGAGAGAAGCATGTGATATTTAAGCTTGTATCTGATTTATTTCACTTAGCATTAAGTCTCAAGGTATACCCATTTCCTACAAATGATTCATTTGTACATGATTCATTCCTACAAATGATTTCTTTTTCTTTATGGAAAAATAGTACTCAGTTGTATATAAATAGAACATTTTCTTTATCCATTTGTCTGTTGCTAGGCATATAAGCTGCTTTTAAGATTTACCTTTTAGTGAATTGTGTGGCTATAAACATGGACATATATGTATTACTGTAATATGTCTTTAATACTCATGGGAAGATACTGTGATGGGAATTGCTGGGTCAAATAGAATTTGTAGTATTTTTATAAATCTCCATACTGATTTCCATAGTTGTCATACTAGTTATGTCCCCACCAACAATATAGCGGATTCATTTTTTTTTCCACAACCTTGCCAGTATTTGTTAATATTTGATTTCTTGATGATAGCCATTGTTTCTGGAGTAGAACAGAATTCAGCATTGTTTAAATTTGTATTTCTCTAATGATTAGAGATGTTGAACATTCTTTCGTATACTTTTTGGTCATTTGTATTTCTTCATACTTTCAGATTCTCTCTGATACTAATATAGTCACTGCAGTTTACATTTTTTTTTTCTTTTTATTGGTACTAGTGATCGAACTCACGACCGCCTGCTTGCAAGGCAGGCACTTATGCTGCTGAGCTAAATCCCCAGCCCCTGCAGTTTACATTTTTAAAATCAACATATTTCTGGTTATCATTTAAACTGTTTACTCTTTTGCATACTTCGACTTAGTGTATTTAAAGAGTAGTTTTTGTAGATAGCATATATCTTGCTTTTTCTTATATCTAACTTGATAATCTTTGCCTTTAAATGGAGGATTTTATTCCATATAACTTTTCTATTATTTACGTGGTTAGATTTAAATCTACTGCCTTGTTTTTTTAATCTGCTTTTTAGTTTATTTCTAACAGTAGTCTTTAACGATAGTACTAAAAGGAGACATTTTTCAGCATTTATACCTAGAATTGAAATTGTTAATCAACTTATTTTCAGTTTTACTAGGTTTTGCCAGTTTTCTACAGTTGCTTTACCAATGTATACTTTTTATCAGCACTCTAGGAAAATTTCTTTTACTTACTGTCTTAGCCAATTGTTAAAATTATATTGTTAAAATTTGTTATGCCCGATGCTGGTGGAGATTGGCAGTGTTATAGTGGTGATGGAGATAAGATCAGTTAATAATAACAAATAACTACAGCCAACACCAAAATTCCTGTCCTCATTAAGCTTCCATCCTAGTGTAGTTATGTTTTTATTTTCTTTTGTCTTCTGTATGAGAGGTGATTTCAAAGCCAAGCCACAAAGCATTTTTTTCATCCATTTAATGGTAAGGTTTACCTAGTTATAGTCTACTTAGTAAAATTTGCTATTTATTTCCTCTCTGTTTTCTAATTGTTTTTATTGCTATTATATCAGTTTCTTTGTTTTTAAAAATCATTCCGTATTAAATTGTGTCTTCTTAGAATAATTATGGCCAAAAATTTGTGAGGCAAAAGAGGGGAAAAGAGTTCCGGGTTTGCTACTTTTTGTATTTTTTTAAATAATACAAATCATTATTTTTGTTGTTGCTTCTGTTCTGCTACCACGCAGCCTTTTAACTAAGCTTGTCATGTGATTCTTTCTATATGAAACATAGTAGTAATCCTTAAATCTTTATTGCAGGAAAAATAACAATATGGGGTTGTCATTGTTGGTATTTTTATATTTGTTCTTTCATTTTTCTTCTTTGGTCTTGAATTATTCCCACTAGGAAAAAAATATTGAGTTAGCCATGTTTGTACTACAAATCTTTACTTATTTTTGGCATTAGTTCACTCTTAACTTTTTTCCCACTTGCAGTTATAAGAAGTTGATGTCTCTGAAAACAGCTGATACTGATATAAGACCGAAGATCAGTTTAAAATTTAATACAAAAGGTATTATTTTATTTTTGTATGAGTCCTGTTGACAATTATGTTAACGTGTTTTACTTTGCTTGTAAAGTGCCAGGCTGTTAACAATCCTTTTATCACCTACTGTTTGTCATGCACTGAACTTAAAACTTACACCACTAAGCAACACTTTGGCATAGGCTTGATCTTGCAGACAAGTGTGTGGATCTCATATTCCTTTTGCAAACTATGTGGAGGTACTTTAGGTCTGCTGCATGGGTGTGACTACATAGTAAGGTATGCCCCGTCAGAGGTTTCCTTCAGTCTCGCTGCCCTTGTTGCATTCCTTTTCAATAGAGCAAGCATTGAGTACCCTAATATGCCAAAAATGAACATTTGAAGTTTGAAACCAAGTGGTCTAAACTTATGTGCCAACTACTTAGAAGTGCTAGGAAATGCTGTATCCTACACTTGGAGACATTACAGACCTTGTTCTTATGGAAGAATAGTTTGGTGGCATTCCTTGCTAGGGAGAATGGCTATCCCTTATGCCAGCTCTATATTTGGTAAACTAGAGAGAGCCCATTGAATCATTTGGTTTTTAGTTTTGTTCACCTCCACAATGTTATAGCCAGTATACTAAGCAAAAATATCAATCAAAAAATCTCTAAACACAAGATAATAAAGGGTAAAATAGTAAAAATTGCATGCTATAAATGTATTTTGATACCCATACAAATACCAGATACCACCATATAAAAATTCTTATTAGTATCTATTTCTCCTCAGTCCACTTTCCTCTTCTGGAAGTACTTTGGTGTTGAGGAGAATATCAAATAGTTTAATATCGTGCCTTATTCCATTTCATTGATTAAATACCTACTTAATCATTAAATTCATCTGAAGCAGTAAGGGATTGTATTAAATCAGTGCTTCTCAAACTCTGAATGTGTATTGAATCATCTGTCTATTTTGTTAGCATGTAGGTGCAAATTCAGTAAGTCTGGAGTGGGACCTGATATTCCTAACAGTTCCAAAGGGGATGCTGATCCTGTTGGTCTAAAGACCGCACTTTGAGTGGCAAGGCATTAGATCATTTTACATTGTTTTGACATATGGTAGCCACTAAATATATGTGACCATTCAAATTGAAATTAATTTAAATGAAGTAAAATTTAACATACAGCTCATCAGTCAGACAAGCAACATTTCCAGTATTCAGTGAGTAATGGACAATGCAAATATAAAACAACTTTGTCACAGAAAAATCTGTTGGATAATACTGATTAAGATAAAATGCAGTTGTTTAAAGTAAACTATAATAAAACATTGGCAGTTACCATTCTTGAAATTTTGGCTTAGACTTTGATGTCATTTGGGTTGCCAAGCTCATCTACTTGAACAGAACCTTGGGTGGTTGAAAGGATTCTGATGGAAAATAGTCTCTGTGGTACTTTTGCTTAGGAATATACTGTTTTGGTTTAGATATCTTAGCAGACAGGCAGAAAACAGCATGCTTATTGAGGAGTAGGTGTGGCAAAGCACTATCCTATACTTCATTGTTTTGGAATAATTCCTGTCCTACAGAATCTTAGAATGTAAAACCACATAGAAAAAGAGCATTAATGTGGAATATCTTGACTTCTCAAAATTCATTTTCAGATGAAATGCCTATCTTCAAACTTGATTATAATTATTTCTATCATCTGCTTCATATAATTATTATTTCTGGTACTGATATTGTCCGGCAAATATTTGATGAGGCTATGCCACCCCCTCTTTTGAAAAAAGAACTACTCATCCACAAGAATGTACTGGAATCCTACTACAACCACCTTTGGACCGATCACCCTTTGGGTGGATCATGGCATCTGCTTTATCCCCCAAACAAGGAATTACCACAGTCCAAACAGTTTGACTTATGCCTCCTATTAGCTCTCATAAAACATTTGAATGTATTCCCTGCACCCAAAAAAGGCTGGAATATGGAACCACCATCTTCTGACCTCTCTAAGTCTGCAGACATTCTGAGACTGTGCAAATACAGGGATATCCTCCTTAGTGAGATTTTGATGAATGGTCTCACAGAGTTACAATTCAATTCAATTTGGAAAAAAGTTTCAGATATTCTTCTGCGTCTTGGGATGAAGCAAGAAGATATTGACAAAGTGAAGGAGAATCCCATTGAGAATATTTCCCTTGATTACCATCAGCTATCCATCTACCTAGGCATACCAGTACCAGAAATCATCCAAAGAATGCTATCCTGCTATCAACAAGGTATGAAATAATTCTGTACTTCAGCCAGTAAGCCATTATTGTCTGGTCCTGTACCTGTGCCATGCACAATGTAATTGGCAGAGAATTCAGTGAATTCCTTTATTGGGGGAGGTTAGATTATCAAGAAGGTAAGTATAAGTAATAGTGCTAGAGATGTTTCTAGAATACTTTGGAAATCCTAACTTAAGGAAATCTGAAAAAGCTTTCTCGAAAATATAGTATTTAAGGAAAATACTGTACATTTAATGAAAGCACATTTCTTAATGAAATGTAGAGTTCAGCTAGGTGAAGAAGATGAATAAAGATGCTTCATAAAAAAACAAGAACAAAGATATACAAACAAAAATACATTATGATGCAAAGAACTAAAAATTTTATCATCAGTTATGCTAAAGTAGGAGAAATTCATAGACAAAATGCATTCAAGAGAATTTCTTTTATCCTACTGAGACATTTGTATTTTTGTAGAATAATTGTTAAAAGATTTTTAAATGTAAAAGTTGTATCACTTCTCCAAAAGTAGGGATGCCTAAAACCATGAAATACAGGTACTCTGTGTGTTTATTTATTTATTTATTTATTTTTAAACACATTCTCACTAAATTTTCCAGATGTTCTCATGCCTTAGCCAGTGCTAGAGTTGTAGGCATAAGTCACCATGCCTGTCTTGAGCTATTAAACTTTTGTCTGTTTTCTTTTACTATGGGGGCTTGTGTGTTAGTTATTTTTCTCATTGCTGAAATAACTCAAAGCCCATTGTTCAAGGAAGAAAGGTTTATCTTGGCTCACAGTTTGTAGAGGTTTCATTTCTTAGTTCCAAGTGTAAGGTGGCATGGCAAAGGGACATCACCGAGGAGTAACAGTTCGTGACAGGGAGAAGGCAGTAAAGCAGTTAACAAGCCCCAAACCACAATGGTAGCTTCTTTTTGCCCGTTTATTGTCTTTCTAGGCTACACAGCTTATGTTGAGTGCCAGATCAATTAGTGGACTGATTAGTAATCGTGCACCCTTGCTTCCAGTACCATGCACTCTAAATTCAGCCGTCTCTGAGAAGCATCCTTCATTACTTCATGAGGCTTTGGTGGGATGTCTAGATACAAGCTACAACAACTTGTAATATTTATGTTATAACAGATGAGTTAAATTTGTTATGTTTATAGTTAAATATAAAATATATTGGTGCTGGGTAAAAATATGGCTTTTCTTAAACCATATCAGACATTTATTGGTTGAATTTGTAATTGTACATCTAAACTTTTTCTTTGTATACCATAGGAATTGCTCTACAGTCAATAACAGGCAGTCAACGTAAGTACATTTAATAACAAAATACTTAAGTCATTTTGTAACTTGGGATTCCTAAGGGATATTGATTGAGATTTACACTTGGTCAGATAAACTGTATAATAAATTTTAACCTTTTTGTTAAAAGCTTGGTCAAATTACTACTGGTATGAATCTATATAAACTTACTTTGCCTTGGTCATTTAGCTCTTCCCTTTCTTTATATTTCAAATTTATATCCCCAGATAATAATAGTTACAGTTAATAGGGTCAGTGTCAAAACTTTAAAACATCATACTATTTAGATGCTGTCTGAGTGCTAGAGTGTCTACTGTCTAGAGTCTACTTAAGATATTAATAGAATAACATAGTATTTAGTACATACATGACCCAGGTTTACCTATGGATGATGATCTAACGTTTTACTAAAAGGCCACTTTAGCAGGTAAAAATGCCTACCTGCTTTCTTTACCTGTTCATATGTCCTATTTAGCATGGAAAGCTTTATATGTCTAGCAATATGTTGTTTATAGCTATACATTTTTGCTAGATATGAGTTGCTGTTTTTTTTAAATTTCCAATGATGGATTTGCTGATTGATTGAGATAGGGTCTCACTATGATGCCCAGGCTAGCCTTAGACTCTTGAGCTTGAGAGGGTCTCATGCTTTAGCCTTCCTAGTAGCTGGGACTCCTGGTGTATACCACCAAATAGGGATATTTAATTTCCACCAATGTGCTTTTTTAAAGGTAATTTACAATCCACAATTAAAATTATTGTTAAGGAAACAGCACCATGAGTTTGTTTGTAGTTAAATGTTGGACCACTCATGATGAAATTTTGAAACTGAGTCTCTGGGGCATTATCAAAGAATATAGTGTCCAAGAAGTCATGTAATTGAGAGCTGGTGATTTTCTTAAGCAAAAAAGAAAGAAAGTTAATTTGGCTTTTCCTGATTTTTTTTATATTTATGTGCTAAAATATAGCTCATTACATAATTAATGTCAAGACTCAAAAGCCTAGTATTTAGAATCTATATAAATTCTAGAGTATCTAATAACAACATAGTGTTTTGGTTCATGTTGATTAGTTCCAGAATACTCTATTTACCTGTTATTTGGCCATTGATAAATGGCTACCGTGTTTTCATCTACAAATTGGAAACAGTAAAATTATATATATATATATATATATATATATATATATATATATATGCAAACATTTATAATTATGATAATAGTCTTGAAATTTCTTGCATCCAGATTTTCAGTATTTTGTCTTTAATGTTTAGGTATTGAACTAGAAGAGTTACAGAATGAGGAAGAAGACCTAAGTCCACCACTTATGGAATACAATATAAATGTGAAATCAAACTCTGAAATACAGTTAGCAGAAATGAATAAAGATGGAGCCTCTATACCCAGTGAATCTTCAACAGAATCTATTAAAGATCTCCAAGAAGTATAAGCTTTCATTAATAGTTGAATTTTAAAAACTTACTCTGGGCCTTTAGTTGTTGCATTAAAGCATCTCAGATGATTTTATATAATCCTTATTATGGGCTTTCCCCAGAACTCGAATTAGAATATTTCTTTCTTTACTATTTTCTTCCATAGTCTTTCCTTCTGTAACCATTTCTCTCACCAACATGCATTGAACACTTACTATGAACCAGGCATTATGCTGAGTTTCTGAGACTATTTCTTCATCCTAATAGAAGTAGATGTGGGAGGGTAGTAGAAAGAAAGTATAGTAAGGAATAGAGGAGAGGAAAAGAGAAAACTGGGAAATTTCAGTGCCACTTGCATAGAGGTAGAATTAAATCATTTAGGATGAAATCTCCACATTTGTTACCCGTAAGTGGCAACAGTTACTATAAAGGCCCTCATTTCTTCTTGAGCTTAATCTTTCATGGTGGACATGAAAATGTTGTTCTTTCAAAACTTCCCACCTCCTTTTGTTACTCATGTGCATGTGTGTAAGTAAATACTCTTCAACATTTTTCCTTAGCCTACTTATTGATAGTATTGCTGGTTCTTTATATGTCTGATTTTTCAAAGGCAGAAAACTAAGATAAAAAATAAAAATTAATTTTTTCATAAAATCTAGAAAGATATATGACCTATAGTTCCAGAAGACAAAAGATATTAGTCTTTAGGAAAAACACTTTACAAACCACTCATTATATAGCTTGAATTGTATATTAACATATGATTTCTTTCTTATCTATTAGGCAAAAAGTAAGCCGAAGAAAAAGAAAAAAATGAAGACTAAAAAGGTAAGAGTACATATAAATATTATAATAGAAGAATATCTGATTATAACATTTGAGTTTAATTATGTACTCATTGTTAGAATTTAAATTTCTCCAGAAAGACACAAAGTAAAAAAGATTGAATAGCTTAAATGAATATATGACTGTGGTATATAGATTTTTTTTTTTTTTGTCTTTTTGAGACATGGTCTTACTATGCGGATTTTGAACTGGTTTCAATATTGCCACAATCCTCCTGCCTTAGCCTCATGAGTACTGCAAGCCATCTAGAGTGGTTTAAATATGCAGGTCTCTAATTCCTAATTTATACATTTGAATATATAAATATGTATACTGAATTAGTCACTTAGAAATTTCATTAATTTTTCTATACTATTGTAATTTTTTAAATGCCTGCTCATTGTTTTAATAACAGATTTTTTGTCAGATTTCCATATTGAGAAACATTTTTTAATACCTTAATAAATCTTGATTTTTTTCATTTCTGAAAGTCTTCCAGCAATATACTAATGTACTCAAAAATGGACAAAAAATGCTTCTTTCATCAGTTATTTCTTAGTATTTGCCAGCTGCAAAATGAACAAATCATTATTGAGAGCATAACCTTATCAAAAAGTCTCTTAGCTGCTTTAAGAAATATAAGCGACAAACTATTTTTTTAATCAAGCCTATGGCTAATCGTTACACTATGCAAACTTTGTATAGAAAAAATGTTAAATTTTTAGTCAAACATATTTAAATGTTATAAGTAAATCAAGATTATATAAAATTAAGATCTCTTATTATAAACTAATTGATTGTAGTTTTCCCACCTATAATTTGATACGACCACATTATTAGTCATTTGGAAGAGTGTACAAATGTTAAGCATTAATGAAACAATAAAATCGAATTTGCAAAATACTTAGTGAGATCAAAATAACTTATTGTCTAATCTGATAAAAATCTGTCATCATTTTTTCCTAATCATTTATTATACCTTATTTCAGTCAAAACTTATTTGAAAATTACATTTTATATTTAAAGACATGGGAATTTTTCTTTTAAACAGTTATTATCAGATAAAAACATAATATAGTTCATCAAAATTAGTGACTTTTATATTTTTGCAAAATACTAGTAAGTTCCAGGTCTGAATACTACAATTTGACAAGTAAATTCATGACTTTCAATTAGAAAGGAAAGTTCAAGGATATAAAGCATCTCTTCCTTGCGTTCAAAAGATTAAAATACAGTTATGTCTAAATTCTCAACTTTAATTAAATGGAACTATCAAATTGAAATTAAACAGATAACGGCACAGCTAAAAATAAGTGTAAACGAGTTCCAGTAAAGATGGAGGATAGATAACAGCAGGCTACAGAGGCTCCCTGAGATAGTCAACTTAGATTTCAAAATAACACAGCCTGGGGAGTCCCAAACAGAGGAGATGAATATTCTCGATCCAGAAAGAAACTAAGATGGGAAGAACCAATCAAACATACAGTCCCAGTGCTACTGTTGGGAACAGTGAAAGGCTCAGTGATGCCCTTGCTGCAGCGCCCTATGGAGCCATCCAAAATAATGCTGCTTCAACTCACTGGATGTGCAGTCACACTGAGATTGGGGGTTGGCGAGCTGAATGGAGGGCTGAGCTGGCAGGGACCCTGCGTCAACCTGCAGTGAATGATGAGAATAAAAGCATCCCACAAAGAAGGGGGCTCCAACAGAGGACATTTTGGGACCAGGCAACTGGCAAGAACAAGGGGCAGCAGTGACTTCAGTTTGCTCCCTTCCTGAACGGGATTGGTGGGGAGTGCTTGGCCTGGGTCACACCCCTGGCTGAGATCCAATAGGTTATCCCAAACCAATTTCCTACACCTGGTGGCATATACTAAGCAGTGAAGGCTTCAACAGGTTGACTAACCTGGAGGGGGAGGGGCTAGCATACCCTGCCCTTGTTTGCACCTCAACAGCACCCTGCAGTGGGCAGGGCCATCTAACTAGCGTGCTTCAGAAGAAGAATCATAACCAACAAAGAAAGAAACTGAGGCCTTCTATATACACATGTATGGACGAAACAAAAAATATGAGAAGAGGAAGCAACAAGAAAAAGTTCCCAGCCCCCAACCCTGAGAATATTGATCCAGGAAAGGTAAATACAGAGGAGACTGAGGACAGCAACATGCAATACCAGACATGCCACCAGTGGACATAAAAAGATATATTCAGGACCTCATAGACAAGTTCAAAAGTGAAATATTTAACCAAGTAAAGCATGATATAAATAGATTAATAAAAGAAATGCTAAGCACCTCTCAAGAAGACACAAATGGAAGAATGGAGGAACACAACAAAAGGGGAGAATTGTTTGATGAAGAATATAAAGAAAACATAGAGTACATGAAGCAGGTTCAAAGAGATTACCAGGAAACTAAAACTCCATTGAAAGCTGGCAAAACTGCTTGGAAGAAACTTAAGGGTGGATTATCCAAACTGGAGGACAGGTTTGCATTGTGGAATCATGAAAGGAAAAATTTCTTAAAAATAACAAGAAAACAAGCAGTAACAATACAAAGGCTAGAAGATGACAAGAGGATCTACAACTTAAGAAAAAAGAATGTGAATGAACAAGTAGGGGTACAAACAAAGGAACTACAAAGGCTATTCACAGAAGTAAGGAAAACACCCCAAACATAGGAAAAGGAAGTGATACTCAAATGTATGAAGCATACAGAACTCCAGCCACCTACAACCAAAACAGATCTATACCCAGGCAAATAATAAGATCACAGAAATCCAATATAAAAACAGAATATTAAAAGCTGCCAGAGACAAGAAACAAATTACTTACAAGGGAAAGCTTATGAGAATTACAGCAGACTTATCAACACAAACTATCAAATCAAAACGAGCCTGGAGTGAAGTATTCCAAGCCTTGAAAGAAAATAACCTCCAGCCCAGATTAAGCAAAACTATCTCTAGAAATTTGTGGAGAAACAAGATGCTTCTAAGACAAGGAGGAACTAGGGGAATTCACGGCCTCCAATCCAACTCTACAGAGAATACTGCAGGACATTGTAAAGAGAAAGAAAAGTACCAGGATTCCAGGAACAGTGGCAGAGAGGCCTCAATGAATGGAGCAGAAAGTGAAATGAAGAAGACAGACAACTAATGGCAGAAAAAGAGCACAACAGAAATGAGGCAGACAAGATTGGCTATAATCTCTAATATAGATGGCCTTGATACACTAAATTTTTTTAAAAAAAGAGAATCACAGGCAGAGTAGATCAGGAGGTAGGGTCCACCAAGATGCTCTTTATAGGAAATATAATTAACCTGAAAAAGGGTTTATGGACAGAAAATCAAATATGAGAAAACAATGCTGTATGTGACAGGGAACCAGAGAGTGATAGGGGCAACTAGACTAGTAATTGAGGATAGGTGGGAAAGACAGGCTTTAATAGGTAAAGGAATACAACTAGAGATCAAGTCCAGGAGGGAGAAGGTTTGGAACCACTTAGGTAAATAGCAGGTTGCCCCCCCCCCAATTTAAAACTGAGGGTGTTGGTGAGACCAAAAAATGTACAGTATTCCCTGGGGGAGTGAAAGGGGAGAAATAGTCTTTAAAAAGACAGCAGAAGATAAATTATTAATAGTGTATCAGGAATCAAAACCCATATTACCCGCACCACTCTGCTTAGATAGAACTTATTCTGTACCAGTTTGTCTACAAGCACTAGATCTGAGGGCACAGACAGCCATCCTAAAAATGTCAGAATATAGCACAGCAATCATCTTTAATTTCCTATTAACTTAATCTGGAGACCTGTTTAACCTATACTGTTATATCATGACTGATCTTAGTTAAATCTGGTTTGTTTGATTGGTGTTTGTTATTGATAGATTTTATTCAAAACTGTTATAATTGATAGTATCAAGTTTGAGAGTATAGACAACTATATTAAAAATGACAAGATTCACTACAATACCCATTCTGGTTTGTTTACTGTACCTGTTTTTTGCAGTTTAACACTATCTACAAAGTAGTGCTTCTATCAATACTGTTATATACTGATATATTCAATTATACTATATCTGATGATATAGCCACTTCTATTGAAGATAACAAGAAATAACACAGAAACCATGGTATAACTCCTTGTACAGCGGTTTTACATGTCTTTTTCATTTTATGTATCTATAGGAATATGTTCTGTTCTGTCCTACTTGGTTTTATTTCCCCCTGTAATATCAAGGATACAAATACATGTTAAGACTCATGCATGCATAGAACCTACGAACAGTTTACAAGAACTGATCTTACAACACATGATGAAATGCACAAACACTTTGAATGAAGAAAGACACTGTAGTACCCAGTGCTGATCCCAGAGTGTCATGATGTGAAATCCGGCAGTACTATTATTCTTTGTCCAGAATGATTTTAGTCTGCTTCTGTTGTTTAATCTTAATATAAATGAAGATATGGATCTGCATATATGCTTAAGTGTATAGGATAGATAACGATATTACTAAGTTTTTGCTGGATAGTTGAATAGAACTATTTGCAATCTCGCTGTTGAATTCCCACTTATATGTTCCACTTTTGTATCTTGAACAATTATTTGTAAGAGGACAATATGTAAATATCAACTACTGATTTATTACTGTTTCTTTTTCTTTGAATGTATGTATTATATCTACCCATTTACTGTTTTGTTTAGTCTTTCTTTAAATAAAAAAATCAGTGTAAACACCACTGAAAAATCTATATGTACTAATATTAAAATAGGAGCTTTTTGTTTCTTTAACATTCTGAGATTTTTTTCCATTGTGTACCCTATTAATTATTTTTTGTAACATATCTACCTAACAATAGTCCTTAAAAATACCTATCAAGAATCTGGAAGAATATGAAAAAAAGTAAAATGTATATAGAAAATAGAAGTATAGACAGCTTTTAAATCATATGTATAGGGACTATATATCTACATGTTTCCCTTCTTTAGTAAGATATTTAGTATTTATTTAGCTTCTAATATGTCCAAACTATACGTAGCCTAAATGGGGGTTAATTAGATCCTTCTGTCTTCCACCCAGGGTTAGAATGGGCAAAAGAATAAAAGGTTCTTGTGATGAAATGTTAGGGAAAAGAAAAGAAACAAAAGGAAACAAATCCAGACCTTCAATTTGGGTGCCATCTCAACAATGAAGAGCTTGCAGAGATGCTTTTCAGAGAGGTTCCTATGGACTGACATGAAGTTATCATGGGAAGAACTAATACAGTTTGAGAAATAATCATTATCTACAAAATATGTTCACTGTAAACACTCAAATGTCTTTTCAACTCAGATATTTAAGTACACTGGAACCAGAGTAAGAGTTGGTAATTCTAAATCATAAAATCAAATTGGTCCTGAGCATTGAACATGGCAGTAACCTGAAACATAATAATCTAGAAAAACATTGTTTGTATTTATAGTGATTTTTTTCCCTGTAGAATAAACCCTGAAGTTTCTTGTAACCAAGAAATGGTAAAAATTAGTACGTTATTTAATGTGCTTTGTCATTGATACTACCTTTCTGTAGTTTTACTTTAATGAACATAAAATTTAGGAATTTTGAAGACCTCCTTCCAATATGTACAATTCTTAATGTTTCAATCCAATTTTCCTTTATATGAGTTTCTAAACATTTTTCTAGTTAGTGTAGGAATAAGTGGGAGATATATATACTCTGTTCCAAATATTATCAGTATGTAAAAACTTAACTCAGTATCCATCTTTATTATCTCAAATCAGTGATTTTCAAGTTACGTGCAATTACTTAGAAGTAGATTATAAAATTAATTTGTAGTTCACAAATTCCATTTTTAAAAGGGTAATATAATAAATAGGAATGGAAACACCACAACCGCACTTCATCACACACCATATAGATACCTCATCGAATCCTTATTTCAGTTTTCTGCTCATAATTAAAGGTAAGTAAGTAAATACATAATATAATATGAAAGATATTTATTTGATTGTGATAAAAATGTTTTGTAAACATTGACAGATAAATACAGATGTACCACTATGTTGTGTTAATATAGTTAACATAGATTATTAATTCTTGATGCTATTTTTCAGAGTAAGGACTCAAAAGAAGAAAAAGTGTAAGTATTAATTTAATTGTTATGGTTTTTTTAGTATTTTAATGTATGCTTTCCTATAGTATAGTCTTTTGGGAAGTATTCTCACTAAGAAAAATAGTTCTTTGTCAATAAGTTGCTACAGTTTTATAGAACATTGCAAAAAGTTAAACTATTTCTTTTGAGAGAATAGTCTTTTACTGGTTTTTTAAACTTATGCAGATATTCAAGTTATCTAATGCTCAAGGCTTCCTTTAAGGACTAAGTCAAGTTCTTTTATAGTCTACATTATGTTAGCCAAATCTAGACAGAAACTTAACTTTAAAGTATAGTTTGTTATTATTTCCTAGAAATTCCTTTATGGAAGAGGTTAGAGTTTTTAAATCTCATTTCTTGAAAGTTAATGTTGAATATTTAATAGAAATGTTTTAATGTCAAAAGATCACTGTGAGATGTATTGTCTAGCCATATAACCAATGACAGCATTTTAAACAGTGAAAACAGCACACAATCTAATGAAGGTATCGTTCTCATCAGAAGTTAGTAACTCAGTGTTAGTAACTTTAGAGAATTTTAAGAACATAAATTAGGCTGTCTTTAAAATGACAGCAAGAACATATTATGTTAACTTTAAGGCTACCACTTGTGGTAGACAATACATAAAATGGTAAATCAATCCAAATGTGTTTTCACTTTCCTTGACAAAAGTTTGAGTCATTGGAGCAGTAGTTTTTCTCCCATTTGGCTATCTCTACATGCCATAAAATAGTAATACTGAATCAATGTCATTCATTATTTTTCTTACATTATACATCCAAATTTGGAAGATGATCAAATCAGCTAGTAAGCTTTGTCTTTAAGTGAGAATTTTCAAATACATGCACAATTAAGGACAATAGTGTATATGCTTATCATTCCAATTTAATGATTATTACTGCATTGCACATTTGTTTTATATTTCTGTGATATTTTGTTCTCTAAGTATTTTTAGCTCCAAACTTACTTGTAATTTTATATTTTCATGCTTCAGTTTATATCTCTTGAAATACAAACATTTTCATGTATTATCCTACTTGCTATTATTGTACTTAAAATTTTAAGAATAACTTGGGATAACTTTTCAAAAGTACAAATTCATCTATACGTTTTCACTTGTAGAAAGATGCCTCGAAATGTTTACTTTTGTTAAGGCTCCTTAGGTAATTTAGAAAAGTAATTGAATCTGAGAACCAGTGATTTACAAAGAGTTGATTTCATTAAACTTTACAAATTGCTAGATCATTCTATAATATCTGAACAATAGTGGCTATTTATAGTGTTTTATGAAGTACTCCCCAGACATTAGCTATCAGTGTTTTAGATGTCAGTGTCCTGAAAAGTAAGTGTATCCTAGAGTTTCCAGTAATAAAAGTTATTTATATCATATTATATATATAAAAATACTGATTTTTGTCACCATTCAGTGAGATCAGAAATTTAGTTATATTATAGGCCAACTAAAAGGGTGTTAGCATGCTTTTAAAGTTTAGACCTAAGTATAAAAATTGTTTGATTGCCATTTTATATACAGTATTTTTAATGGCATCTAGTGAAATCTGTTGTTACTGTAGTTTTTTAAGTCTTGTTACAGAAGAAGCCTTCATTTTACAATCTACTTTATATTTTTATGTACAACATTCTATTTAAATTTATATTAGACCAATACACTAATTCTAATTAAACTTACCCAGCAAGAATATGGAGTGTGTGTGTGTGTGTGTGTGTGTGTGTGTGTGTGTGTGTAAATAATGAGGTGAAAATGAGTGGCAGTATTTCTCAAAATATTGTTCCTCAAAGTAACTGATGTTAATAGTTTCAATTTGAAAAATGAGCTCTGTGGTCTCAATTCTTGAACGCACTGGGATAGACAGTTAAATAGCTCTATCAAGTGCTGTATGAAATTTGCTACTATTCATTTTGAATGCTCAAAACAAAGGACAGTTTCTTTGGACAGTTTCAGTGGACAGTTTCTTTGACCAAGGACCCTTCTAATGCTGAGCATCTTATGAGACTAATACAGTACTACTTTGTAAAGCAATAACTTAAGCTAAAAGCACTGTATAAAAAATATCACATCAATCATGTCACCACTGTAGTTCCTATATCAGAGAAAAGGAAGAGCAGTTGAAGAAAGAACAAACAAATCCACACACAGTGGGTAGATTTATGAAGGATGATGCAAGTGATATTCAGGAAGATTCTGCAACTGAAGACAAGTTCTACAGCCTTGATGAACTGCATATTCTGGACATGATAGAACAGGTAAGCATGACTGAAGAGCACACACACTTGCCTTTCTCTTCAGAGATAGTTGCTACCTTTTTCTCAGAGGCTTAACATAATTTTTGAAAAGTTCAGTGGTTTATGCTTTTGTTGATAGAAAAGGCAGAAAGGATTGTTGAAGGATGACAAAAAATCTTAGAGACTATACAGTTTTTACATTGCTTTTCACACTATTTTTTGGTTTTTAACTACTGGGCAAAAATGATTACAAATTCATTCTTTGTAAAAGATTTTTGAGCACCACAAGAAAAAACAAAACAAGACAAAACAAAAAAAACTATCATATCCTATAGTTGATAAAATATCATGAGAAAAATAGTTTTATAAAACATTTATTTTTATTAAATCTGGTTATTTTGAAAAGTCTATGAAATGTTAATATATGACAGTTTTTCCTGGCTCTTTTTGTGGTAGTCATTGCTTGAAATGATGTACCTATATGTAAAAAGGTATATGAATAATAAATTTATGACAGCATTTAATTAAATAAAGCAAATGAGAATAATAAAACTCATTTAACTGAATCATGAGAATTCAATGGTAGCCTGCTTTGGATTTAAATATAATGGTGTATATTATATAGAGATGTTCACTGTCTAAAGAGCACAGTTAGTAAAAGTATGTCCATGATTGACAGTACAACATTCATGTAATTGTAGCATATGTACAATTTGACTGAAATTATGACCACTGATTATTATTCAATATCCAGGAGAATGGTAAGAACTGAAAATTAGAATTAAAATGTCACAGGTAATTTCAAATATTTATTTACTTTAAAACATTTAATACCTACCTGGTATCAAGAGCTATGCTAAGACATGATGCCTATTTTCAGTTATTTGCAATCTACTGGAAAAGTTTAATAGCAAAGTTAAATATTCAGTGCAGTGATCAAATACATGCAATTGAGACTGCTTGAGTTACTATTTGTGTGACCTTGGGCGAATTACTTACTTGTTTTAACATTTTCAGATTTGAATAATGAATGCTGTCTTATACACTTCTTATAATAAAATCATTACAAAGAAAATACTTAAAAAGAGGAAGCACGCAAGTAGTGTTACCTAGTTTTAGCACCAGGAACAAAGAATTTAAGGTGTTGCTTGGTGAATGCTGTAATCGGGGGAAAGTGGGCTTATCTAATTAGGAAATAGTAGCTATTAGTAGGAGTTAGCTTTAAAGCCTCTACAATAACTATATATTAGTGTTTTTAGGAGCACAATGAGACATGCATGTTTTATTTGCTTAATAGGGCTCAGCCGGTAAGGTAGCAGCAGACTATCAAGAAACTGAAAAGGAAAGGCTTGCTCATCAACAGCAGCTTTATAAACTTCACTATCAGTGTGAGGTAAGTACTTTTGCCATTAGATATCGTGGAAGTAAGAAGTATATCAAATATTAAATTTAATATTTTCATTTTTAAAGGAACCCAGTTTGTTTGTTGTTTGTTTTAGTTTCTGTCCCGACTTGAACAGAAATAACTGAAATATTTTATGTTGGTCAGAATTTCAAAAAGCAGTTGAAAACTGCGACATTTCGGTGGCAAGAAAATCAAATGCAAATTAAAAAGAAAGAAAAAGTAATAGCATCTCTTAACCAGCAAGTGGCTTTTGGAATCAATAAAGTTTCCAAGTAAGTATAAAATTTTTGAAAAAGGGGCAGTTCTGGATTGGCCTTGTCTATTATGTGTAAAAGATCATCCCTGTGTAGCCACTAGGTGGCAGTGCAACGCCACAGTGGAAATTCCAGAGCATTTTCACTTGCTTGTAGACCATCCCTATTTTTGCCTTACCTCGTGCACTGAGAAGTACTCAGCTGCTCACTGTCTCTATATATCAGGCTTTTCGTGTATCGCCTGAACAAGTGTGAAGGTAATAGAATTACATGAAAAGGATAATTAACTTTTAGGTCATGACTGTTAATTTGCAAAAATAGAATCAATGTTTGTCTGTTTCTTCACAGCATATAAGTACATTTGTCAAAGACACCCATGGTATTAGTTAAATGCTTTTTTTATATTGATCAGCCAAAAGCCATGTTCTAACCCTGCGAGACAGAAAACATATCAGTTCAGGGAGATTCTTTCCATCTCCATTGATTTCATTCTCTCTTACCACTTTCAGTATTAAATGCCAAAAACGAGAAATTGTGACTAACTTCACAGAGAGAAATGAGTGACCTGCTTTATTCCTTTTATGCTAATCACTTCCTTACAGGAATGATTTGCTATAGAGTGTAGTTTTGTAACACATGTTAATAAACAGTGCTATCATATATCCATGAAATTTCACTTAAAATCCACTGCAGTTTCTAGAATACTAATAGGAAGAATAGGTAAAAACTAGAGAATGTTGTAGATTAGAGTTCAATTATATTAGATATATCACACAAAATTGGACAAATATTTGGAAGCCACTTATGTCGTAAATTTTCTTGCATATATGTCAAACATGAAAAGATTTTTACAAAATACTATATGCCACAGTCTCGGCAATGTAATTCAGTTGAAGATACCTTTAGAATTGCTCCTGCTGTAGTTAGATCCCCTGAGGTCAGAAGGAAATGAAGACATGAGGAAATGAGCAAACTATGATGCTTATCTGTATTTGGATTCAAAACTTTCTCTATAGCCTGATATATGTCAATTAATCTAGAAATATATAGCATTAGAGATCAAAAAAGTAAATTCTGTGATTGTGAATGAGCTGCCTTTCTCCTTTGCCATCTGAAGATATCCCTCCTCAATCCTGAGAGCAGGCTTATGTACCCTGATATGCTTAAGGCCCCATACAGACTTTGTTAAGGAATATATACATTTTCACACAGGAGCATTCAGTAGTGAACAGTCACAAATATGTATGAAGCCTTTAATACCATAAGTCTTTTGAGTGACATTTTGGACCCTAGCCATAATAATAGATTAACCTATGGGAATTAAAATTACATATAGCAAGGGGACTGTTGGTTTTACCAAGATGTAGTATTCTCGTTATTCACAGCTCCTGTTCTTACAACTTTAACATCCTAGACATGGTACCATAAATAAACACAGGAACACTGTAAAAGGTAGAAGAATGACCTACCAGTCTTGACATATAATGCTACATCAGGGCCTAAATATTGAGTTTTTGTCAGTGAGTTTGGGCACTGAAATGGAGAAGAAAACATGATATATTAAACAATGAAATTTGAGGAATGAAATGGCAGTAAGTTTCTTTATTGCCTCAAATATGTATCCCAAACAGGGTCCTGAGGAAGCCTCTAAACAAGGGAAAAATAATCCAAGATGTTCTCTCTAGCCAAAGGATCAAGAAAAGGAAAGTTAACAATAGAAAACCTTTTTGACAGTACTCACCCTACTCTAGCCAAACCTCAGTGGGCCCTATAGTGTCCCTAGGAAGTGTATGATCTATTCACACACCTGACAGAAATAGGAGGCAATAATTTAGTCCCCTGGTGAGTGATACGTTTTCAGCAGGATCAAGAAGGCAATAATAATATTGTCATTATTATTATTACTGTTACTATTTTGGTTCATAGTCTTGAACCCAGGCAGCGGTTGGTCATTCCTGTGCTAGTATGGTCTTGCTAGCAACTGAGCCACTGCTTCTATCCTGCATCAGTAAGACTTAACACGTCAGTGCCAGGCAGAACTAATCAATACAGAACTAATCAATACTAGACTTCATGCCTACCATCTGCCCCTCATGGAGAGCTAAGTCTTTGCCCTGGGACTAACTGGCTTCCCATTTTCCTCTTTCCTTGGATGATGCCAGAGGGGCAAAACAAGGAGCATCTGCCTCCACTCCGAGTTAATAAGAACAAGGGAACAGTCCTTTGCTTTCTTTTCTGGTGTCAGCAGACCCTAGCAGGCAGTTGATCTTATACTCTGCTTATAAGCAGAAGGCACTCTGAGTTAGTGTCACACTTTCGTTGGAACTTCCACACTGTAGCTCCCTGTACTATGATTCAGAGCTCACTTTTGCTAGGATGTTATTCATAGAGCCAAGTGTAAAGGTGAAATCACATACCCACTGGACTTTTACATTGTACCACAGCAGCATTCTCAGTTTAAAATAGGAAAATTAAATAGAACCCAGGGTCATCCAAAATATGTAGGTTATAGTAGAAAATACTCATCATACCAAAAGCCAAGAAAATATGAAGACTAACAAATAACGTTAAAATGATTCAGAACATTTTACTTGAATGAATTATTTGACAGATTGTACTGCAGCATCACAAAAATGCTTCAATAAAGTTGAATTTATTTGAGAAAATGAAAATCTATAAAATTTTAGGTTATAGTAGTAAATTGTAATAAAGAATGGAAGCTATAAAACTAACAAATAGAATACCTAAAATTTAAAACTATTGGATGTAGAGATGACAAGATTAAATCAGTGAATTTAGGGACCAATGTATAGAATTTACTTAATCTGAAGATCAAAGAGATAACAGATTGAATGGAAAAGACAGATCACAAGTACATATGGGACAATAACAAAAGAGCTAATGTTCTTAGACTTCTAGGAGAAGAATGAAAAGAAAGGATATACACTCAAAATAAGTGTTCAAAAGAATGACTAAAAATTGTACAGGTTTGATAAAATACATAAATTTACAAATTTAAGAGACTAGTTGAACCCTAACTTATAAAAACTAAAGAGTCTTGCCAATATACATTATAATTAGATTTCTAAAAATAAAAGACAAAAATCTTGAAAGTAAAAAGAGAGAAATATAGTAGTCCTCCATACTCAAAGGTCCCAAGACCCTCAGCAACTGAACCCTTTAGGTGCTGATTTTTCTTACACATATATACATGTGATAAAATTCAATTTATAAATTAGGAACAGTAAGATATTAATAGTAACAATTAATAAAATAGAACAATGATAGGTGATAGTTATACTTCAGTATAACTTCTAGCATGACTACTATGATATCGTGGGGTCACTATTAGGTAAAATAAGGGTTACTTGAAGACAAGTCTTGTGACACAAGAGCAGTAGATCAGATAACTTAGTTAGCTGTGAAATAACTAATGAGTGAATAGTATACACAGTGTGGATACCCTAGAAAAAGGGGTGATTTGCCCATGTCCCACACAGGACAGAGCAGGAAAGCACAGGATTTCATCATGCTACTCAGAATGCTGTATAATATAAAGCTTATGAATTGTTTATTTCTAGAATTCTCCACTTAGTAGTTTTGTATTAACTAAAATTCCTATGTGTCCCGCAGTCTCAGCTTATCAGATTGGATGAGAAATATAATTTTGATATTAAGTTCTTCATATGGTATGGGAACACTTGCCTACCTAATGTGTGAGGCCCTGGTACCAGAAAAAAGTTGGTTTATATTTTAATTAATATTATTATTTACACACAGCATCACTTTTATCTTTGAGGTCTAGTTCCTTTCAGACCTGTAGGCTTTGATACTTCTTTGCATGACTTGACATATAATATCTCTTTATGGACATTAAAGTTCTCAATACCATTTCATTTTTATAGTAGATAAACTAAAGGAGAAAAAAACTGAAATCAGTTTTTCAAGTCATTGGGACTCAATATGATAATATTTTTCTTGGGCTTTTAATTTACTGAGTTGAAATTTAGTTTTCCTTTCTTTGGGTAGTCAGTAAATGAAACATAAGAAATAGGTAAATATCAAAGGGAACAAGTATGGGAATCAAATTACTCTTTGTCCATGATTTGTTTTCCAAATTAAAGATAGTTGGTCCCATCCGCAATTACAGATAGGACTATTCTGTGTTAATTGGAAATGTGTTTCTAACATTCTGTGACCAGTTTTCTCATTTCCATAGATTACAGCGTCAAGTCCATGCTAAAGATAATGAAATTAAGAACCTTAAAGAACAGCTTTCCATGAAAAGGTACAAACTTAGCTTCTTTATTGGTGGGTAAATGGTAGAGTTTGTATTTCACTGGTCAAGGAAGCCATGCAATTTATTATCCTAACGCGCCACTTTTGAAGATGGTATTGAGCAGTAACAATAATTACACTGGGTAATAGGTGTAAAGTGAAAGTGTCCCTGCGAAATTGAGAGGTATGCTCACTTTAGTTCTGGCCCTGAAAGTTGCTCAGAAATTAAAACAGCAGAATTATAGTCACACAGCAAACTATTGTCGGCGACCAGAACTTGAGAGTTCTTGTTTCTTTACCCCAGTCAGCACAACTAGGTATGACTACTTTCTGAAACTGGATTTTATTCTTATTTACCTGTTGTTTGCTGTGGGTAATTTTTTTAACAGTTTTTTTGAGATCTAACTCATATAGCAGAAAATTCACCTTGGTGATGTGTGTACTTCATTGTATATCTACACGGGTATGCAGTTATCAGGACTACTTATTTTTAGAATAGATTTTTTACCCTGTATGTTGTGACATATATTAGCACTCATTCTTGTTTTCTGTTATGTTTCATCTTTTTATTAGTTTGACAGACATTTAACTTTTTCATGCTTTTTTGTCTGTCATGAGTAAACTTATGAACATTATTTATACATCATTTGTAAGTGCTTTTTTAATATTCTTTTCCTTTTATATTTTTCCATTATATGTGAGTTGTGCTTTCATTTTCTTGATGGTCTTTTAAAGCACAGTTTTTTTGATGAAGTCCAGTTTATTTCATGCAAATTTTATACAACATTCAGTGGCATAATAATTCCTCTTGTGTTAATATATATCTTGGGGTATTTTATGATTTTGTTCCTCCTTAATAGATTTAAGCCTGAATAGTATTTATCATATATTATAGTCAAGCTTCTTGCCAGTATTAGTTCCTCAAACATCTGGCTATTTCTAATAATACAACATTGAAAATGATTTTTATTATATTCTTTATTATAATGTATGTTCAGTTATTTGTTGTCGTTAAAGACAGAATTTGGCTTATATGCTAGTGAATTCTGGGATTCGAGTGCAGGAAGCTGAGAAAGGTTATGCAGAGAAAAAACCTCTTGTTAATAGGCACCACTTTTCATTATTTCCTGTATAAACCATGTCCTTAGCCACTGTCACTCTCTCTTTCCCTCTCAAGCTGTAGGATTTGGCTCTTGTTCTGAGATTTAAAATGGGAACACTGACATAACCAATAAAAAATATTTTAATGTTTGACTCTATAACAAAGATAATGAAAACCTTTGTGGTGGTGGTGGTTGTGATGCAAAAAGGCATACAGAAACTTAATGTAAAATCTATTTTAAAAGGTAATAGCTAACATTCATTTCCTATTTAGATATCAAGGAAAAGAGTTTTATATTGTCTGAATGAATTTTCACAACTCTTTTTAAAGATAATACAACATTCTGCACTTTTACATTAGGTGAAACTGAGGGATAGGCAAGTAACTTCTGTCTTAGTTTGGGCTGTTATATCAAAATACCATGGACTAGGTAGCTTATGAACAACATAAATGTATTTCCTGGAAGCTACAAAGTTCAGATTAAGGCACCAGCCATTTTGGTATCTGGTAAGTATCTATTTCTTCATAATAAGATGAAAAATAATGTTGCTTACTCTTTAATGATAATATATTTCAGATCTCAGTGGGAAATGGAGAAGCATAATCTGGAAAGCACAGTTAAAACCTACTTGAACAAACTGAATGCAGAAACCAGCAGAGCTATAACAGCTGAGGTATAAAAATAAGTTGTGGTTGAGATTAAGGAAAGAAGTTTTAGTTTTATACTAGTATCATATTAAAGAATTGGGGGGAAAAACTTGGTGTTTAATAAAAATTAAACATCTCAAAGCAAGCCAAGAACTCAGACTCTTGTGCTTTTTTTTAATTTGTTAGCATATTATATATAAATGCTTCAGTGTTTATGACCTTACATCACTTTCCTTCAATGACTCCAACTGGTTGTTGCAGTATGTCAAACAAATGTAGACACCTTGAAAAAATTCTCTTAAAGCAAGGTCACTAAGCCAAATTTTCATTTCTGTATAGTATTTCCTTTCTCTGCTATTTTCTATATTAGATCTTCCAATAATACATATTCATCATATAACGCAATGTGAAAAACAAAACAGTTTTCAGGCCTGTAGAAAGTAACCTGATTTTTTTCTAAGTTAGTGTAGAGCACCACACAGATGGGGTTTCCCAAAAGAATGTGATCTGTATTTTGTGTAATGTATTATATTTATAGATAACAAACTTGATATAAAATATAATTAATGTTTTTGAAGAATCTGTGATATTAAAAGCATTATAAACTTTTTTCACCTATGTCACTGTTAGATTTTGTTCTTTAGAAAAATAGTTGAATTACAGAATTCAATAACCAGTGACTAATATCTGAATGAAATATCCATGGAAATAATTTTGAAGTACTAGCTTTAACTAAAGAAATACCCTCATTGCCTTAAAAAAATCCTTTGTATTCTTTGTTTTTATTGATTTTTTTGTTCAAGCATCTTTCTGCTTCATTATTAAGTTTAGAGAATTTTCTAACATTTAATGCTGTCTGGTAATACAACTTTTAGTGATTGAGTGATTAGTAATAAAAAAGAAACCAGGTCTGCCTTGCCTACCACAGCTCTTAAAATTCCTGGGGGGAAGGCAGTGGAAGATGAAGAAATAAAGACAAGAATTGGAACTCAGAAAGCTGAGGTCAGGTAGAGCCGTCTTTCCTGATAGGAGAAAAAGTACCACTCGAGGCTTTACACACTCTGCCTAGCAACTCACTTGCCTGGCTCACCTTCATTCTGGGAGCTAGAGCTGCTTGTTTACATGGTTTGCTTCGGACTCAATGTATTCTCAGGGCTGCCTTGCCTTAGCCTGTCACGTGTGATTAATCTCCAGCTTCAGCCACTCCCCAAAGAGGAAAAATAGTTGTACATCAGTAATGATTTGGAAAGGATTCTTGATATGGGGAGAAATGAATATTAGACCAAATAATTTCTAAGACCTATTTGGACTGTACTATATCTTTCTATGTGTTCTGAATTTCTGACTTATTCATCAAGAGAAAACAATAGATACCAGGACTTTTTTAGTATGTTCTCAAACTTTGCTACATATTAGTTTAATAGCTCCTGAAAGCTACCAGTATTAAATTTTAATGCACAGGCTATACCCATTGTCAATTGAATTATAAGTCATCATTTTTTCCCTTTTTAATATGATTGCAGTATGTGTACAAGTTTGAAAAACAATATTCTGGAATGTTTACTAATCCAGTGATCACTGAATATGAGAATTAAAATTATATGATTGAAAAGCTTTCATAATGTATTTTTAATGGTCCAAATTCAAAGTTTTGTTGGGACAGACTGAAAAATAACTAAAATACATTTGACGTATAAAACTTAAAATATACTTGGGAAGAAAATGTTCACTGCCAAGGATACCTTTAACTTGCTTTTCTTAAAAATCTACAGGTGTATTTCTTACAGTGTCGTAGAGATTTTGGATTGCTTCATCTAGAACAAACTGAAAAAGAATGTCTCAGTCAGCTTGCTAGGGTGACTCACATGGCAGCAAGGTAATTTTTCCCACCTGCTTAATACATACTGATCTTGAGATTCGCAAATACCAACAAGGCTAAACATATCCCACGATGCATTTTATATATGGCGCAATGTGGTCCCTTTTTGTTTTTTTAATATGTCAGAAGTTACTTTAGTCACTTTGGCGTTTGTACCTTTTTCCTTCTGATGAAGTGCTGAGAAAGTGAGTATAACAATAGCTCCTGAAAGACTTTCCCTCCTTCCACAGTGAAATATATCAGAAGTCTCAGGTAGCAACATGCACAGAGACCATATATTTAGAAACAAAGGGGAATTCTTACTGGAAATATCTTTCTAATTGTTTTTCCTTCTAATGCTTGATTTAATTACTTTTGTGAAACACTGAGGGAAAAATCATTATTATTACCTATAATAACATGTTAAAGGGAGTTTCCTACTATGCTATATGAATAATTTTCAAATTTTGAACAAGTTGTATGAAATTTTCCATACATTTGTAATCTAATGGGCTCTACTTCAAAATTAAAAACAAATTTGAATCTCTGGGATCAAGGCATCCATTTTCATAATGATGGTCATTTTAATGATTATTCTTTTAATTCTGATGAATCAGAATGATGTTTAAACAAGATTCATAGCATATATAGATACACATCGAAGTTAAGTGCTGTTGTGATGAAAATCTTTCTTGCTAGAAAGAGAAAGGGAACAGTTTAAAAGTAAAATATTAAGTTTCTTTTTATGAGATGATTTTAAATAACTTGTTCTGGTCTTTTAAAATTCTTGAGCTGGGTTATACAGATATGACAGTGTTACAACAGACTTTTGAAAAGAGCTTTTGACCACGTAAAGTCTCTTCTAAAAATGATAGATCCTAAAGACCTCAAAGTTGTTCATACATTGATTAGGTATTGGATGTGATTATATGTTGGATGAGGCTGCTGTGTTTATACAGTTTATATGTCGCCGTACAAAGGGAGTGTTTTGTCTCATTTGGCCTCACAAAGGAGGTACTTGTTTCTAGTTTGATTTTTCAGAGGCAGTATCTTTAAACAAATCACAGTGAAACCAGATAGGCCAACTGTGGCTCTTTTATGTCAGAGTTAATATAAATGTAATTCAAGAACTACATCCAAGATAGGTTAACATTTTTTAGACTACCCCTGCATTGGATGTCTAACGGATTTTTCCTGTTTGCCTTTCTCTGCTTCCCTCTTTTTTTTGAGATAGATATTCCAGACAGATAGCTATATATATTATGAAGATGTAATAAATATATATAAAATGTTATTATAAATATATGTGAAAATGTTTTATATATATATGAAGATAGAAAAAAACCTTGGTATTATGGAAGCCCAAATTGTATTTTTTTTCTTGAAAAAAGAGTCTTTATGGATTCCTGGAGTTTTTATTATTTTTATTAACGAGCCCTGCTATGTATCTTTGACTCTATTTGAGTTTATTGTTGGTGATAGCGGTAACTTTATTGTTTTATTTATATGTGTGTTAGGGAAAATAATGGAAAATTTTGGAAACATAAGTATATTATGAGAAGAAAAGCTTATTTTGTATCTCCTTTTCATACACTAGCAACCTGGAGTCACTTCAGTTAAAGGCTGCAGTAGATAGTTGGAATGCTATTGTGGCAGATGTTAGAAACAAGATTGCATTCCTCAGGGTAAGTCTTTAAGTATATTTAGAGCAAATAAGCTGAATGTTATGGGTTCTATTTAATTAAAGTAGACATCTAACGTTAAAAGCAATCAGGAAAACTTAGGGAAGAACATGTTTTATTCATTCTAGTTATCAAAGTTTATGCCTCTAATTTGAAATTACTTTCAGGTAGTTGATGTAGATGGCATCCTAGGTTCACACATGTGACTGTTTAGATCCGTTGTCCATTAAGTGGTGAACTCAAGAATTGTGCTTCATCTAGTTTTCTAGAATTCCAAAGCTAACTCCACCATGATAAAAAATGTCATATCTAGTCTGAATAATAATGTGTTTACAGAATTAAAAAGAAAGATCAATTAGTCTTCTACTAATTTTCAGCCTTAACTTTTTATGTAATTATTCCATAATGCAGAGTAATTCATAATTATTGGTTCAGTTGAGTAAGAACCATACTGAAGGTAATCGAAAGAAGTGACCCTCTGGTTATTTATTTACTTGACTTTAGAATCTTTTGATATATAATGTTACTACGTAATTTTAAGTGTTGTATGACTTCATAATACCATATGCAGAAATGCAATGGTCTGTGGTAAAGACTGTTCCAAAGTACTGCAGACTTGTCTTGCTTCTTTCTTGATGGTTTTGACTTTTTTTCCCAGCCCCTTCTTTACTCAGTCTTTAGTGTTGCTTAAGATTTCTGGTACTTATTTAAGTGTGAGTCTCAGAAGAACTGTCCTTGTTCTTTATCCTTATTTCTTCCAAACATGTGTCTTCTGTGGGAAATTTTCTAAATGTTTTGTTTTATAGGACTTTGTTTTCTAGCTCTTGTGTGTTGTTGATTAAATAGCACAGTAAAGTGAGATGGGCACAGTGCCAAAAATGTTGAAAATGTGGTGTTAGACTTTCAGGAGTTTTTATCATAAAGAACTGTGAATTATGTGTCATTATTTCTTGTTGATCAACAAACGCTTCTAAAAAATACAGATATTTCCATGTGTGGATAGTGATCTGTCTCAGTAGGTCGAGTGCCACTCTTCTGTGTTGTGTTGTTTCAAACAAATAAAGTATTCCTGTGTACTGTTTAAAGTTGATTATGCTCTAAGATATTCTTTTCTCTTCTTCTTCCAGACACAGTACAATGAACAAATCAACAAGGTGAAGCAAGGATTTCCCTTGAGTAGCTTGCCTCCAGTCCAGCTTCCTCCACCACCGCCCAGTCCTGAGATATTGGTAAGAAACCTGACAGTTTAGAAAATTGCCATCTGCATTTTAGTAAAATGGTAAGGTTTTAAAATACTGAATATATGGTGTGTTTCACCTGTATTCTAAATAGAATAGGCACATGTTGTGAGTACCAGTTGCAATCATATCTTTACTTGCTAATATAATTGGCAGGTGGTAGTCATCAGGTAATATGATTAGTGGCTGAATCAACTGCGACTGATACAATAGCTTCTGTCACTGGGTTTTAGTGATGCATTTGATATCTAAAGAGTAGGATTCCTCATTTATTTTCTTAATCCCATCTATATTATAGAAGTTAACTGCTGAATGCTCAAAATTCCCACTGTGCTCTTAGTACCACTATGTAACTGAAGCAGTGCAGCTTAGCACCCTAGGAGGCACTTCCTGAAGATTTCCTCTCCACTTCACCCTTACACTTTCCTTTTTCCTTTAAATCTAGTCTATTTTCAACAGCAAGGACAGCTTCCACTTATTCCCCTTCTCTAATCTTTATTAAAGACCAGTGGATTTAGTCAGGTATAGTGGTCTCTCATGTATATTGTTTATTACCCTTATGGGAAACATAATATCTTAACCCAGGTAACTTAACACAAGTTTCCAAAAGAATTTTTAAATGGTATCATTAGGTGTTATTTTTTTTTTTTTTTTACCATGTCAGATCTGAATGTTGGAAAAGGAAGGTGTAAGATATTTGGGAGCAGATAAGTTTTGGTATTAGCACTCATGATTATAGTAGAACTCTGAAAATGTTATTTCTACTTTTGGTTGAGTGTAACAAAGAATTTAAAAATTATGTGAATTGTTTGGAGTTACACTGTGTGTATTTCAAAGGCATCTACAATTTAAAAAATGGAGTCAAACCTTGACCTCAAGGCCCTTTATGCCTTTATACCACTGGAGGTTACTTTAACTTATATTGTTTACCTAGATTTAGTTAAGGGCAAAACCCACAGGCATTTAGGCTCTGTGAACATTCATAAGCCTCAGTTGGAGGGATATATGTATCTATCAATAGATAGATAGATATAGATATAGATATATGTATCTTTTGTGCTTCCTACTGAGTCTCTGCTGATCTTGACCAAACTTTAGTAGTACTAAAGTATAAGCACCAGTGACCATTGAGCAAGAATTGAATAGTTAGGGAGAACAAATGCTAGAAATGTTACAGTGTTACTTGCTATAAACTGAAGTGGTGTTATACCATGGGAATACACGAGAGGACTTATGTTAGGTCCTGCTTCTGTGCAGAAATATGCTGGTCTTAGGAAAATCAACTGTCTTGGACTTTAGTTTACCATCTTCTAATTAGAATATTATTACAGGTGATCTGTTCACTAAAGTTCCATGTGACTCAGAGGCTCAAGTGTTCTATAGAATGGTTTATAATATAATGAATGTACAGAGACCTAACCTGAGAGGTCAGGGATAATGTGGACTTCTCCAAGGTTAATTCAGTACTTTTGTGGATTTTATTAAATCTTGATTCTTGTACTCTGACTATTTAATTCTCAAAGAAGTGTTAGATAATACCGATTGTCAAAGATAATAGAACTGTTGGCTCAGTAACCGCCATTTATTCTTTAAAAGCTTTATATTATGAAAATTTAAAACATACATAAAAATGATGTAATGGTCATAGTCACCTGCTTGGAAAGTGCTAGGTCATGAGTTTAATTCCCAGTACAAAAAAAAAAAAAAAAAGGAAAATAGTGTAATGAACCTCTGCAAACTCAAGACCCAGCTGCAACACATTAGTATTTTGACCATCTTGTTTTATATCATCCCATTTTCTTCTCCACTGGAATATGTTAAAGCAAACCCAATACATCATGATCTCATCCATTTTTTTTGATAACAGGGATTGAACTCACCACCTCTTGCTTGCCAGGCAGGCGTTTGTGCCATTGAGCTAAGTCCCTGGCACTAGGTTATATCTTAAAAGATGAGAAACTCTTTCTGAACACAGTCGCACCGCTATTATGTTATCTAAGAAAATTATACATAACTTTAATATCTAATATCTATTTTGAATATATTTCCTTAGTGTTCTCAAAATATCTTTTCCTAGCTTTAAGACATGTAGTGTTTGTCCTTTAGTGATATTAAGAATCAAATGCTGATTCAGTCTATTCATTACAAAGTTCTCCATTTTCACCTACCAGTTTTAGGATCAATACTTAGATCCATACTAATGTTGTTGTTATTTTTTTTAATAAAAAAATGGTATTGAACTTCTGCCAAGTGCTTTATCTTGATGGTAGTCCTTCACATGGTAAATGCTTAATAAATGTGTTTCTTTTGTTTAGTCAACAGGGTGTGACAGTTTATAAGAAGGTTCAGATTTCCACAAACCCCTAGGAAGTACAGCAATACCCACAAACATATCTATGAGTCATTGCAGGAGAATTTATCTCTCACGGTCTACCCTGCTTCATTTTTCTGTTCTTCTTGAATCTAAACATAAAATTGATTCCACTAAGTAGTACCTTCAATGCATAATAGAGAATTCAATATTTTTAAGAATAGCTTAGAGACTTTTTATGAAATTTCTGAGTATCAATATTACCTACCAACATGGTATAATACCTTTGTTTTGATTGTTTTATATGATTGTGATCTTGATGGTGGTGATAATAACTGAATGAGAATTGAACAGTATCTATGGAAGTCAGTAAGAATTTTCTTAGCATAGTATTATTATATCTGTGGGAGAGGGGTGTTAAATATCACCCAACCCAATTCAGTCATTTTATAGACTAGGGATTTGCCATCTAAGGCTACATAGCAAAGTAGAGAGAAAGTGAAAATAAAATCCAGTTCTCTTTTTCTGCTTTTCAGTGCTTTTATCAAAATATTTCACTGCCCTTTGTTTTTCAGATATTCATATATTTAATGTTCTGACATATTGTTAGTAAGCTTTCTGGCACTGTGGCAAAATACCCGAGATAAATAACTTGAAAGTAAAAAGGTTTATTTTGGTTTGTGTCTGTGGTCACTTGACTCTGTTGCTTTTGGGCTTGTGTCAAAACAGCCCATCCTTGGTCAGGAGGTTGCTTACCTTATTGTAGCTGAAAAGCAAAGAGAGAGAAGGAGTCAACAGTCTCAATATCCATTTCAAGGATATTGCCCTAGTGACTAAGCTCTTTCTACTAGGTACCATCCTGAAAGGTTCTGTTACCTTTCAATACCACCACAGGCTGGGGGCCAGGCCTCAGTACATGGGCATTGTTTAATATCCAAACCATCACACACTGCTTCAATTGAGCTTCGTATATGGATTCCAAATCACTGTTTTACCTCTTATATTGCTATATAAATTTCAGTCATTGCATGTATGAATATACAAATGTTTATGAATTTCTTGTTTATTTTTATGTTTTACCTTCCTGATTATAGATGCAGCAGTATTTGGGAAGACCAATTGTGAAAGACTCATTCTTTAGACCCATACTTACTGTTCCTCAAATGCCTGCAATTTGCCCTGCAGTCATCTCTACAACAGGCCAACCTAGACCTCCCCTGGTAAGATCTTTTCTTGGTAGAACAGAAAAGAACTAATTCTCTAGCGCTACTCTGGGCTCCTAATACAATACCTTCGTTCTGATTGTTTTATATGATTGTGATCTTGGTGGTGGTGATGATAACTGATTGAGAATTGAACATTATCTATGGAAGAAAATATTCACAGTGTACTATATATTACTTCTTTATTAACTAATACTAATTTTTGGATGCAGAAATAGATGTTTATATTAGGTCTTTACAGTTAATTTTACTTATGTAACAGGTTGATATTTTTAATAGTTTTTTTTTTAGTGTAGTTGTTAGGTAGACTGAAAAGAAAAAAATCCAAGTTACAAGAATTGCTGGGGATTTAGCTCTGTGGCATTAAGCACTTGCCTAGCAAGTGCTAGGTCGTGAGTTCAATTCCTAGTACAAAAAAAAAAAAAAAAAAAAAACGAAAAAAAAATCAAGTTACAAGAAACTAAATTATGCCACAAAGTTAAAGAAAAAAATTTATTTACATACACACACATACAGAGTAGGACACATTGTCTTTCAACTATATGAACAATATAAGTAGAATCACTTTGGAACATAAATCCTAAAATTATAAATGTTCCTAGCTACAAATAGCCAGACAAGTCTTATCTAAGCCTGAAGAAGGAATAAAGAAATTTACAATGACTAGAATTATTATTTTTAGTTCAGGACAAGATAAACTTTTTTATTATAAGAGAAATTTTCTTTTGTAAGCATATTGTTAAAAGGGGTCTGGAGATACATAGCTCATTGGCATAAGCGCTTACCTGGCAAGCACAAAGTCCTCCTGAGTTCAATTCCTGGTACTGAAAAAAAAAAGAATGATGTTAGATATAATCAGTGAAAACAAAAACCTAATCTTGACATTCTTATAGTTGCATTTTAGGCAGTTAATTACATATATCTCTTTTTCAGATATGCACTAGAGAGAGGCAGGTGGACTCTATTTTCATAGAAGCTGCCTATCTATAAACAAACATTTATAAGCCTCAACATCTTAAAAATATACTACATTTTTTTATTACTGTATTGCAGTGTTTCTCATGTCATTTGGTTTTAAAAAGAAATTATATTGAAAACATTAAAATACTTTCACTTTCTAATAAAATTATTTTCTTACAATAGAGGAAAACTTTGCTACTGAGGCAAATCTGATTTCTAGGAAATATTTTGAAGCTCTGTCTTACAAGGCTTTGTGCAAGTCATTTTATTGACTATTAAATTTGTTAATTTTTCATAACCCATAGAGCTTTAGGTAAAAGATGTTACACATAGAATTACGTTAGTATTCAGATTAACACTCTAAAAAATTCACATATTGATATTAATTACTTACTTCACTTATTGATATTAATTACTTAATTACTTAGAATCTTAAAGGCCTTAAGAAGGAATTGCTATAAAATATGGGGAAAATTTCCCTGGTTTCGTAGCACAGATGTGTCACTTCAACTTCCTTATTATGTCTGTAACATTCAGGAGACATGTGGTAGACCAATTTTAATAGCATTTTTATGTTTAGTTATTGAAAATTGTAATGTTAATATTTTTCTAATTATAAAAGTATATATGACAATTATGAAAAAATGCAAATACAGCAATATATGTTATAAGGCAGAATTGCCCTGTAATTGAATCTCTAGAAGAAACCATTCTTTAAAAATTTGTCATATAACTTGCACACCATTTTCATATATACACTTAAAACTTTTGATATTACATAAGTCATAAGTACTATACCTTTCACATCCAAACATTTTTGTGAACAGATGATACCCAGATGGGTGTGCATGTCTATTTTAAACAACTTCTTAGATGTACCATAATTTATATAGTCATCCCCTTATTTATGAAGCTCAGATTGAGCTTTTCACTACTATAAAAAATACAGCAATATGCACAATTTATGTATTTCTTTATGTGTTTGTAATTACTGTGCAATATACCTTACTTTTACAATAAAATAATCACAACAAATTAAAAATATTATTGCATTAGTTAAGGGGAATAAACAAACCTAGAAAAGGAAATGGGATTGTCTATATTGTTCTTCTTCATTCGTCTCGTTTTCTGAGGTATGGGAATGTTACAATGGCATAGTACATTGCTTATAGTTGAAACTTACGAGTTACATTTCTCTCCACCTTTCAGATGACTGGCATAGCCTGGACTTTGCCAACACCTGTGGGAGAGACCGTGCCTCTTAGTACAGGTCTGGGAACTGATCTTTCCATGATGAATTGGGAGAGGATTACAGACAAGCTAAAAACTGCTTTTCCACAACAGACCAGGTACCTAACACGTTATAAATCGTATGACAGAGGTTCCATTGCAATAATTACGGCAATGAAACATTTCAGAGAAGCATAGCGTAAGAAAAATGTACAAATATTATTGTGGTCTTGGTAAGGAAAATAGAATTTACCAGGAAGTAATAATATTCTATACAAATGGTAAATTTTTTAACTACTATTGTTAGTTTTAAATCATGAAAAAAATAACTTTTTAAATTTAGGTTTGTCCTCTTACTAAAAGTACAAATAGTTATGGATTTACTCAATTTTATTGCCATTAGCTACTTTAATAACTTATTTCCAGAGTAAATTTTAAATTGATTCTATGCTACATGAACTAAAAATATCAGGTTTTTGTTTTCTATTCCTTAATCTTACTGAGGTTCCTTATAATTTCTTTTTTAAAGTACACAGTTAAATGCAAGAAACCATAAATTAACCATATTTTTCAGAGTCTGATTTTGGTAGAAAGATACTTAATTTTACTGCTATACAAATAAAGTTTTTTGTTTTTGTTTTTCTTTAATCTCTACTTTTGTATACAAAGGAATAATTCTTATTTTCACTAGTATTTTCATTTGAAGACCTAATCCTAATAGCAACAGTATATATAATAAAGAATTGCTGTTAGGATTAGACTGTGTATGTCTTTACTGCTGCTATAAGAATTAGATTGTGGGGGCTGGAGGTTTAGCTCAGCGGCATAAGCACCTGCCTTGGAAGCAGGCAGTCGTGAGTTCGATCCCCGGTACCGATAAAAACGAAAAAGCCAAAAAAAAAAAAAAAAAAAAAAAAAAAAAAAAAGAATTAGATTGTGGTTCAGTAAATTTCATAGTAATCAAATGAAAATGAAAAAACAAATCTTTTCTAAAATTTTTTTGAACAGATAGGCAAAGGCTAATGACATGACACTTCATTTGGTATGGGAAAATATCTCTTCCTCCATCCTATCAAAAACGTAGATGCAGGCTCTAGTTCAGTGGACTTTGGAAATTGAGAGTGCACATGTTTATTAAAATCATTGTAGGTGCTTATCATATAATGAAGTGTCTAATCTTTGCTTTGTGTTTTTATTTACTCTTCGTTTTCTATAAGTTTTACCAAAAACTGTCAACTCTGAAAAAGAAGAAACCAGTATCAAAATCATTAAAAAAGAAATATGTTCATCTTCACTTCTAGGCAAAAATAAGTAAACTCAGTATTTATATAGTGAGTTCTCAAAATCAAACTCTCTCTTTTGGTAAAAAGAAAGATATTTAATTTTATCACTCATGAATATGTTTAAGCATCATTATTAACCCAATTAGTAATTTTAATTTTGATTTCAGATAATGCAGATGGACCTGTAAACATTTTTAGATGAAAGGCCTAGAGTCTCCTCTGTTGACATGTTATATACCTATTGTGTGATAAGATTTTGTATCTCATTTGGAGGGTGCCTCCATAAGGCAATAGGGAAAATGAGCACATCTTTTTCCTGATCTCTTCCAGAAAGGAGCTCACAGATTTCTTACGAAAATTGAAGGAAGCTCATGGGAAGTCTTTATCTGGACTGACATGTGATGAAATTATTTACAAGATTTCGCAATTTATTGAGCCCAAGAAATCTCAGGTAAAAAATCACAACAAAAAACTGTATTAGCTCCACTTTTTAGTTACATGGTTTCATTATATATATAACATGTTAAGAAAATCAATAACCTCTAATCATATTAGATCATTGATTAACAGTGAATAATTTCAACTTCACCTTGACAAATGATATGAAAGTCTTTTTGAAATACATAGAATAGAATTGACCCCCACCCCATTTATGGCTGAATAGGATACATTTGAGTCATTTGTAGGAAAATGAATACATCTTAAGTCCATACTGCTAAGTGAAACAAATCAGACACAGATAGTTAAACATTACATGATTTCTCTTGAGGAACCAAAATACAAATAATTGAAAAACAAAATAAAAGACAGGTGATTGTAAAACAGGAGTAGTCTTTGTGCAGATAGGAAGGAGGTCTGATAGTGTGAGGAGAGGGGTGGGCAGGAAAGGAGAAGGGACGTAAAATGTGTAAGACGCTGGGGATTTAGCCCAGCAGCTCAGGCACTTGGCTGGTAAGCGTGAGGTTGTGATTTTGATCCCTGGAACCAAAAAAAAAAAAAAAAAAAAAAAAAAGTGATTAAGTGAAATAGTTATAAGTACTGATTCCCCTAGATGAATGTAATTATTATGTATTACAAATCTATATCCAATAAATAAATAACTTGTTACCTTGAAGTTTTCTCTGGTTTATTTTTAATGATTTTAAATGACATTTTTCCAATAGTATTTATTTTAGTTTAAAAAACACATGAAATTATTTTTGTCTTACTTGGGTCTAACTACTGCCAACATTTTGTTTCAAGATATCTCATGGAACTAAGTCTTATTTTTAATTTTAATTTTTTGTTAATTCTTACAGCACCTCATTGTATACAATTATATCAGTTTATTCTGTTTTAAACTCATTCTGAAAACTGAATATAATGTTTTTATTTTCAGAGTCAAGAAAAATCAGTGCCAAATGATAATTGTGTTTCACCTAGCCATTCTTCATCACAGCCCAGTGCTCCTGAGTCCCCCAAATCAACCTGGAGGCCTCTCAGTTCTCAAGGTTCTGCCACGTGGGAAGGAGCCAATATCGTGGTAAAACTGTTGACTCTGAATACATTTCAATTTGAGAGGGGCAAATAGACTACATTTAACATGTATGATTCTCTCTAGGATGAAGAGGAAGAAGAAGAGCCTTGTGTGATCTGTCATGAGAATTTGTCTCCAGAAAACCTCTCAGTTTTGCCTTGTGCTCACAAATTCCACTCACAGGTAACTCTTCAAATTTGTCCTATGAATATTTTATCATTAACCAGCTAAATACCTTACTGAAAATCAGACATGCATCATTATTCAATGGCATGTCACAGATTCCACTCTGTGTAACTCTGTGCTTCACTTTTAGATATCATACAAACATTTAAAAATTTTCCCCATTATGTAGCAGTGCTTGTACTGTTATTTCTTAGATTTATATATACCTTACAGTAAAAGGGGGCGTTATTGAGATTTAAAGAGTATACAGTAGGCAGTTTCCTTGAAAAGACCTGGGGAAGTGTTGATTGACTGACGTAACGGTTTAGTAGCAGAACTAGCATTGCAGTAATGCCACTTTACCTTAACTTGTTATAGCTTCTACATAGTGTCCTTTATCTATACGTAATGATGATTTCCTTGTATGGTAATGCATGAGACTTATCTTAGCAGTCTGCCCAAGCTCCTGTATTTGCTCAGGATTAAATTTTAATGTTAGGAAAATGCAAGGCAGATATATCCTTCTTTATTCTTAGCATTTATGTGGATTGATTCCTAGTATTGATGCTGTGTAATTTCTATTGACAATACAATATATGACCCAAGTCCATGGTGGAGAGATATATTTTGACACAGGAAACGATAATGTTCCACAGAAAATCTCAGGAAAGTGAACAATAGTCAAATCATTTTACCTATTTTTGTAAATCATCATTTCAAAGATATGATGTACAGTAAAGAATGATTTATTATATCTGCTTTGATGTGTAGACATATACATAAAATGTCTAATTTTAAAGATCTCCAAGAAAGACAGCAGCTTGGCTTTCTCATTTGAAGTTTTTAAAGTCTCAACAGTTTATAAATGTTTAATAAGACTCTTTATTCTGTGTCACTACCCATTGAACAGAGAGCACATAATTCACTTAGGTTCCTTTTTAGGGTTCAAGTTAGTGGGCTTCATATATAGTGCCTATTCTTAAACTCATTTGACCTGCTTTCTATTATTTATACACATTAAAACAGTTTGTTTTTGAAGAGTTAGTACTCAGAAAAATGACTTAGCAAGTGGCTAGTTTATAATCAAATATCTCTCCCATTTTTATTATAGATGACAGTTTGAGTTTATGTGTCATCCAGGTGTTTTAAATTCAGAGCACCGTAAACGTTTTCTGCAAGGTATTGGTAACCTTTGTATGTTGAATTCTGAGTTGTTCTGGCTTACTAATGAAGGCAATATATAATAAAATAAACCAGACAGAGACTATAGCAAGTTTGCCCAATTTTCTTCTGAGGAAGAATTGCTGTACCTCCTGAAAACTGGAATTAAAGGGTGAAACTTAAAAGAATAAACTAACATACAGTTTTAACATTATCAATTATAATGCTCAGCACACCACAGAGAAGGTACCATGTTGGTTGCTAACCTTGATACACAGAGAGACTGCTGCTGCTGCTGGCTAAGTGTGAGAAACTAACTTGACTCTCTTTCCTCCCAGTGCATTAGGCCATGGTTGATGCAACAAGGGACATGCCCAACCTGTAGACTCCATGTTTTGCTACCAGAAGAACTCCCTGATCACACCAGCCAACAGTTGCCCAAGGACTGACTCAAAGTGAACAGCTCTGCGAAGCAAGTGTAGTTGTCAGATCCCAGCATGTATTTTTGCCTCTTCTTATGAGCTGGTTGTGTGAGGAGTGTAAAGCAGTATGCTCTTCAGTATTGTGGTAAAGAAGCTAATTGTATCAAGTGGCAGCCAAATAGGTCAAGACAGAAGACAGGTCTAAGGGACTTGTATGAGTTAAACTGAAGGGGCTTAAGAAGATACAATTTTAATAATTACAGTGTATTTGCTCTTAGTGAGCTTTTTTCCTCTGTAGATTTCTTTTTTTTCCCCTGTTTTTCTTCCTTATTCTACTCACCTTTTCATTTCTCTCGGTATAGTGCATTTTAATTTTTTGAAATAAATTTAGGAGAAAATCTGAAAGTGTAGAGAAGTAGAAAAAATCCACATATTTTAATGTTCCTTTCAACTTTTAAAATTAGTCATTAAAATATAGTTGAATTACTTAAATTGTATTTCATCTTCTGTATTTTCTGTCCTCTAAAATACATGCTCATACATAAATTAATGAATTACTTGATGATGGAGACCACTTAGCAGTGTGTCAGAGCTGGCTTGTAATAACGGCTCAGGAAGAATGATTGGTTAAGGAAGTTTGCAAGCCACTTATCAAATTATTGGTGACTTGAAATCTGGTATAGGCGAAGTATTTATACCATATAAATTAGGAAAAGGAATAAGACTTGTCTTTCCCTCAAAAGTTGGTTCTTAAATGTCTTTTATCATAGTACAAGACATTTATGTTCCCAACATCTTACATAGTAGGTGCAGAATACACACTCCCAGAATCAGAAGTCAGGAGGTAATAGAAATGAGAGACGCTCTATATACAAGTTATTTGCTGAGGTAAATAGTTAAAATTGTATGTTTATTTATAAACATGTTCTTTGAGCCTTAATCAATTTGCATTTTGAAGAGATTTTTTTTCTGCTTTAAAAGTTTCTAATTTTACTTTCATTTTCTTGCAAAGGAAAAATTGTATGTAGTTTCTTCTTGTGACAAAGTTTATACACATTACAATTGTGTATGTAAGCTTGTCACTGAGAACTTTAATTTTTAGAGGTCAAAAATTATTTTGGAAATGGTATTGTGTAAGTGCTCTAAGGGTTGTATTAAAGTAATTCAGTTACCTAGTGAAATAATTTTTTTCTGACACAGAAAATGTTTTATTACGTATTTCAGGGTAATTGTATTTTGAAGTTACTTTAAGTCTCTATTTTAAAACTTTTATTTCTGTAGTTATTTACTAAAGATTTTTTTTCTAAAATGATAATAAGCTGGATAATATGACAGAAAATATCCAAAAAATGTTAATCACCTAGTATGTAAAATGCCAAGAATATATCTAAATTCCAGACCTAATAACTTACAGGGTCTTCAGTATGGTTACTGTGTCTGGCACATGAAGGTCGTGATCATGTAGGAGGTTACTTTGTAAAACTTAGTTCTTGTTTACAACTCATTTCTTAGTTCATCTTTTTAACATGAGAATTTCATTCTCATGTGGAAAGAATAAATATCTCTTAATTTAGTGAATATTTTATCTGTGTATTTCATCTTAGATAAACCAGAAACTACTTTAAATCTGTACTTCAAATGTGTATTTCTGTTTAATTGTGCTTAAATTTTTTTCTTCTGTTCTGAGAAAAGAAAGAGCAATTTGAAAGAGTACCAAGACGAAGTGAGTCATGTAGCCATATTAAATACTAAGGATGTCTTGGAATCATAGAATGCCAAAGCTCGTCTGACCCCTTCATGATCTTCTAATGTGTCCTCTCATTTTACAAATATGTCGTGGCCTAAGTCATGTGGCTAGTTGGTGGCTATACCAAGTCATATGTGTCTTTGCAAGTTTCTGTAAAGTGCTGATCTGCCAGGCTTAGCTCCAAGGAAGAGGCTAGACTTAACACAATAGTTAGTGGTTAGTGAGAACATAATAGGACAGTATTCTTATCTAGTTCTGCAGGAGCAGAAGATAACGGGATTCCAATTAAGCATATGGTAAACCCGGTGTTTGTTTTGTATTAAGTAGGTGGTAATGAGTATATACAAATGCATAATAATGGTAGGACACAAGGAAGAAGTTTGATTGACTTTTCCTTTCTATGATTTGCTTGAAATGATTCAAATTAGTGTCTGTTGTCTTGATGTAATTATGCAAAGTACCTTTCACTCTAGAGTATCCCTGTTTGGATGATGCATTTTATCTTCTGGTTAGTTCAGGAAAAGTGCTGTTTTTCTTTTCTTTTCTTTCTTTCTTTCTTTCTTTCTTTCTTTCTTTCTTTCTTTCTTTCTTCTTCTTCTTCTTCTTCTTCTTCTTCTTCTTCTTCTTCTTCTTCTTCTTCCTCTTCCTCTTCCTCTTCTTTCTTCTTTCTTCTTTCTTCTTTTTTTTTAACCAGATTGAAATTTAACAATGCTCTTAAACACAATAACTATATGCCTCTCAGATAAAATGGTTTTTAGCAAGATTAAAAGTGACAAATACTAATTAGTCATGAAGATACGTGTTTTCTGATTGTCTTGAGTAGGAAACTTTCAGTACCTGGAGGTGTAGATTAGAAGTTGTTTCTCAGTAGAGCTCACAGGCTTCTTTCTTAAGTATAAGATCCTGGACCACTTTCATGGTTACATGATGCGTTTATAAAAATGTGTGTTCCAGGAGGCCTTATGGAAAGTTGCCTTTGGAGCCAGTGCCATAGGTATTCCGATGAACATTAAATTTTAGAAACCACTAGTTAAAATGGCTTTCTCAGATAGATCTAGTTTTGAATTTTTGAATTCCATATCTAGCATATTGTGTGATCATAAACAAATTAGTTTCACTTTTCTTGGCCTGTCCCCTTTCTGGAAAGTAGAGAAAAAATGGTTTGCCTGATGGTTACTGGAATAAACATTTATTATTCTTTCCCAGAGTAGCAAATGAGGGTAAGTCAGCATCGATACAGCACACTTCTTTCCCAAAGCACAGTGATAGAGCACTTGCCACCAGTATAAGGTTTGGGTTCAAACCCCAGCCCTCAGTCTTCCCCTCTCCCCTTCAAAAAATAAAAATAAATTTCAAACTTCTCATTCATCATCCAATGTGTGTAAGTTTACTTCTTGTTGATAAAAATCCTTGAAAATATTTTTTATTTCCAGCTTCCCTTATTCAAATAAGGAAGAACAGAATATATAGCCATACTTCTGGTTTCACAAGGCCCTAGAGTATTTGACAGTAAGCTTAAAAGATGTCACACATACATTTGATCAGTTAATATATTTGAACTACATAATCTTTAATCATGAGTATTGCTTGGCAGTATGGAACAACTAATGATCGTAAAGGTTTTGAAGGTTTCTAGGAAAGACGTAGCTCTATTTGGGAGACAGAGATATAAAAGATGTGATTTACTCAGATCATATAATTATTAAGTGGTGGTGATTTTAAACTAGAGTCCTGATGTTCAATTAGTATATTCTCTTCATACCCCCCTATTGTCTTTTCAAAAAAAAAAAGGATAAAACTGACTACTTGAAAATTCTTCAGTTGTGTCTTTGGGTAAAGACAAAAGCAAAACAAGACTCAAATATTTTTATAATGAAGAAGCATTATAGCTAGAATAAAGCCAAACTTACAGCATTAATTTTTTTCTTTTTTATTGTTTGTTTTTGGCACTGGTGATCAAATTCACGTCCTCGTACTTGCCAGGCAGATGCTCACACCGCTGATCTAAATTCCCGGCACAATTTACAGCATTCTTACATTAAGGTTTTTAATGAACATTTTGAAAGAAAAAGACCAGATAGATGTTTTTACCTTTCAATTTCAAGCATGTTGCTGCTGGTTTAGAACCTCTTCCTTCCCAAGGCTGTATCATTTTTTAAAACCAGGAAATTATATAACCATTTCTATGATTTCAACAGTACAATACACCTGCAGTGTATTAATGATAATCAATCTCTCTGTCAGAGTGCTTTTTCAGCTCAAAGAAAATAGCGGTTTGTATAGGAAACTAGCATAGTAGTGTGGGAGCCATTGTTTTTTTTTTTTTCTTGAAACTGTTTTATGACAAAATGAAGGACTAATTTCAAGATAGATTTATAAAGTTCAGCATTATTTTAATCCAAGAAAATTTTTATTTTAATTTCAAAGGCCTGTGATGAAAGCCATGCATCAACAACTAAAGATGAAGTGTTTCCATTTCAGTTAAGAATTGTAGATTGTTTAAAAAAATTATCAATACAGTAACATCAGTACAAAAAAACCTAAAATAGAAATTTAGAAAGATTTATTGCATATACTTGTTAAAGCAAGACTCATTATTCTTTTTCTAATTCTACCTTTTGCATACTCTTTGAAATTATGACAACATTGTGGATCACTTTATCAGATTTATGAACTTGCTCATGAATGAAAGTTTATGTAATACTTGCTTCTGAGAATACTGCTTTTGTCTTTGTGTACACTAAGAAACATAGCTCATATTCCCTGACCTGAAGGAGTTGAGTCTAACTGAAAAACAAACATCTTAACTTGTAAAGATAACTCAACATAATTCCATACCCAGTGAGTCACAAGCAACAAGTAAATAGGAGTTCGGTCAATGCAGAATGGGACAAGTAGAATCCCGTATAGAAAATGGGAACATGAAGATAGATCTTTCTTCTCTCGATCATTTTAAGATCCTACATTACATGCTTTCCACCTGGAGCACCTATTATACTTTATGTTTCACACTTTCTTTCTTCGGTTCTCCTGTCAAATTTCACCTTCCATGTCATAGGTACTATTTTCCTGTTATTTAAAATTTGGTTGATTTTTTTTATCATCTTTCTCATAATGTAAGATACATGTCAAGAGGAATCTTGCCTGTCTCATTCACTGGTATCTGTTGCCTAAAACACTGGCATTTAATAGGTATTCAATAAATATTTGTTGAATAAGAGTGAGCTTTGGGATTTAATGAAGCTTACATAACAATACAGACTAACCATTTTAGGCAAGGGCTATGACTTGAAACACAAGTGTCATGTAGAGAATTATTTTTTATTGTTGTCTGTAGAAGACCATATAAAATATTTAATAAATACTGACATTCATGGTGTATACATGGTATTTTAAATTTGTAAACAGTTAAAATCTAGGGTTTTATAAGTGATCAATAAATTCTAAAAAAGAAAAATACATTTGAAATTTTCTGCTTCTATGTTTTGTGACAAACCTGGGTATAGTAGTAATCCTTTAATTGAGACAAACCAAAACATCTGATTTAACTATTAAAAAATAACTAAGATAAGCATGTGTTTTGAAGCCAAACTTGATAAAGATTGTGTGTGCACTGAGAAGAACTTTATACTTAAGGTTACTTTGTTTCTTTTCTCAAGACATTTGTACATTTAAAACTCAGGGCATGAATAATAGAAATAAACTACATATTATATAAGTAAATATTGTTATTACAAAGGGAACAAAAAATGAGGGCTCATGACTAGGATGGTAACCCTGAACCTAAGATATTGTTGTTCCAGAGACAACCACAGAGAAGTGGGACTAACATTCTTCATGCATTTTTCTAAACTGTCCATGTGCCAGCCAAATTGGAAGTCAAACAGAAAAGATTTACTAGGGCTGAAAATCTAAGCTGAGATTTGGGCATTATCATGGTTCTGGAGATAAATTTGGAATGCAGGACTAACAAATGGCAGATATTCCACGGAGAACCTGGTATTTCCTGAGCTAAGGACAAGCCAGCCAAAGGCCAGTCTACTGAGTAAAGGCAAATGTCACTGGAGATAGCTAAACATAAGCCAGAGGTTTCTACATTTCATATGCATGATATATGGTATTAATTAAAAAGCCTTACCAAGTAAATAATAAGTGAGACTAAAATTACTGAAAACAGAAACAATAGATAACAAAATCACAAGAGATGTTCTAAATAGGGTATTAACTCTAGATGTGACATATTAAACTAATTTTTTTAAAAAATTTAAGTACAGTAATACTAATTACACTAGATGAATTTAACAGTATATTAGTGAAAGGATAAGTAAATAGGAAAATATTAGCAAAATATATTGAAACTGATGCTTAAAAAATGGATCATGCAGTAATATATAAAAGTGAAAATATTAGCACACATAAGTGAACTCACAAAAAGGAAAGCAAAAGGTCAGAGTTTTATGTGAACATATACTAAGATTTTTTTTTTAAAAAACTGACAAAATATCTGCAGAAGCTATTCAAACAAGTTGCATTTAAAGAAGTGACTGTTAATCAGCAGTTTACCCCAACATGTCCTAGAGAAACTGCTGGGAAAATGAGGCATCATAAAGTTTTCCAGGCTCTAAAGGAGCTACGTAAAACTTGAAGCTGATTTTTCACAAGAAAAAAGCCAAAAGATAATGTCATTGTGTATTTAAATGCTAGAAGATAATAACTACCAATTAAGAATTCTATTTCCAGTAAATTTATCCCAGAAAACCAAGTGTGAATCAGTGCCTGTCAGACAAATGTAAATGGAACTTATTGCCCCTAGACTCACATTAAAAAATACTTGGAAATTCTTCAGCAGAAGAAAAATGGTCTCAAATGAAGTGTATTAGTGCAAGAAGAATAAAGAGCACCCAAAGGAAAAAGCTTTCTATATTAATACAGAATGTTTAAAACAGTCTCTTAAAAGATTTAAAATAAATGTTGAAATTATACATACAATAAAAGATATAGGAGTTAAAAATAAGTTAAAATAGTGTAGTTTTTGCATTCCTTATGTACTAAAATTATTTACTAAATAGACACCCCCACAAACACTGTAAAGAAACTGCCTGAAACTACTAAAAGAGAACATACTAGTATCAAGTGACTAGAAAAATACAGTGATGAAACTATTTGATTAAACCAAAAGAGCCAAGAAATAAGAGGAACAGCACACAAAATGTAAATATAAAGCAGAGTAAAATCACATTTAAATATAAATATATTAAGTTATATTAAGTAACAATGAACTGAAATTCTCAAAGACCAGAATTGCCAGTTCTGATTACTAAACAACACACAACCAAACAAGCAGAATCACTATTTTTTATTTTGAAGGGAAATATCTTTAATGCACAAATATGGAAATGTTCAGATTAAAGTATGGAAAATTTTATTAAGCATTAAATAAGTTTGACATAGCTACATTAGTGATAAAAAAGACTAATTTCCAGGGAGTTATAGTGTGACTCAATTTGGGCACATGTAGTAGTAAAGCCCCATTAAAAACTGACAGAAGAAAAAGAGATTACGTCCATAATTATCGCAGGGATATGGGATATGGTACATACCTGTCACGGACATGTGAATGATTTCAAGTCTGAGTCATACTGGTCATCTGGCTGATCAATAAACTCATGAAGTATGACCTTTCTATTGCTGTCATTTATAACCAAGTCAAATATCTAATTCAGCACCCCAAAAGCTTCTTCCATTCAGCCCTGTGAATCAATTAATATGGAAATATGATATTTAATCCTGATAATCCAGTATATTTTTCGTAAGTGTATTCTAATTGAGTCATTGCTGCCATAGTGTTCTATATCTGCTTATACCCAGAATATATAAAAGCTACATTTGCACTAATTTAAGTATGGAATGTATATACCTTAAATTTAAATACTTTATTGCTAAAAATGCTAATGATTGAGTTTAGTTTTAATCTGAGTTGTGACCTTTTTGCTGTTGCAAGGTCTTAATGTTGATGGCTGCTGATGCAATATGATCATTACCCAAGATTGGAATACCTCTTCACATTTCTTAAAGTAAGATAACAGTTTGAGAATTTTCTTCACATCTTCCATATGACACAACCTTTTCTCTTAAGGTTTTTATTTAAAGAGATAAAACCTATGGCCATAAAATCTTGTACATAAATATACTTGAAAGGATTATTTACCATTCTTAGACTGGATACACTAAACCTTTTTCCGTATGTAAGTGTACAAACAATAAAAAAGAACGTTTCCTACATGTAACAATTTGGATGAATCTCAGTTATGTTGATTTGAAGAAGGATAAAAAGTATAAACTCTATGGTTGGATTTGTATAAAATTCTAGA